GGGAGTGTAATGTAATCAATTTGCCAGGCCTCCCTATATTTCTATTTCAACCGTTGTCCACCATACCACAGAGGCTTTACTTGCTTGATTGTGCAATGGGTTTCTGTGGCTGGGTTTTGGTAGCAGGGGGGGCTACAGGGGTGGCTTCTGTTAGAAGCTGCTAGAAGGTTCCTCTGTCCCGTGGAGTCAATGCCAACTGGCTCCAGGACAGACTTCCTGCCGCTGGCCAAGGCCAAGCCCATCAGGAGTAATAGTAATGCCTCTGGGATAACATATTTAAGAATAGAAGGTTATGGTGGAGAAGAAATTTCAGCTGGGGAAGAGCAGAGTGAGAAAATGGGAACAACAAAGTAGACACCAAGGTCAGTGCAGAAGGAGGGGGAGGAGGTGCTCCAGGTACCAGAGCTGTGACCCCTGAGGTCTGTGGTGAAGACCATGGTGAAACAGGTTGTCCCTCTGCAGCCCATGGAGGACCATTGGGGTGCAGAGACCCACCTGCAACCCATGGAGGAGCCCATGTTGGAGCAGGTGGATTCATGAGGAGGCTGTGACCCCATTGAAGGCCCAGGATGCAGTAGAGTCCTGCCAGGGACCTGTAGCCCATGGAGAGGGAAACCCATGCTGGGGCAGGTTTTTCCCAGGTAGGACTTGTGGCCCCTTGTGGGGGACCCACATCGGTACAGTTCATTTGTGAAGGACTGACCCCATGGAGGAGGGACCAACAGGACAGCAGTTTGGGAAGAACTCACGCCAGAGAGGTCCATCAAGGACTGTCTCCTGTGGGAGGGACCTCACGGGAGCAGGGGAAGGACTCCTCTCTCTGAGTAGCAGCAGAAACAACAACTGACTGCAACCCCCATTCCCCATTCCTTTGCACTGTTGGGGGGAGAGGAGGAAGAATATGGAAGGAGGGGTGTGGGGAAGGTGGTTTTGTTTTATTTCTCACTATTTGGCTCTTATCCTGTAAGTAATATATATATATATATAATAAATATAAGTACTGTCCTCACTTTGAGTGAAGGTAATCAGTAAGTGACGTCTCCCAGCTCTTCTCTCTACTCATGAATCCTTAGGTGGGTTTTTTTTTTTCCTCTTCTCTGTCCAGTTGCAGAGGGAGAGTGAGAGAGCACCTTTAGTGGGTACCTGATATCCGGCCAGGGTCAATCCACTGCAGCATCTTTCACAGTTATGGATAACTTGGGAGATAGTGACCATGGTTAAGTCCACCCCTTGATCACAAGCCAATCTGTATGTTGCATCTCTTCCCCGATGACCTGAGGCATCATGGGCCCACCGAGCCAGAAAAAAATCACCCTTATGTTGCCAGTCCAGATCCACCTGAGACACTTTAATCTTGGCAGCTCAATCCACCTATCCATTGTTGCCATGTTTGTCAGTAACCCCACTTTTGGATACATGTGCATCTACATGACGTACTTTTACAGCCAACTACCCAGGCAGCGATGTCTTGCCACAATTCAACAATATTGATGGTGGCACCACTTTGCGGTTTTGGACTCCAGTTCGTACTGAAGTCCCAGCATGTCCAGCACAGCAGCACTTAGTGGTGGTGTGGCTTCATTCAGGCCACAATAGTCTACTGTCAGTCTCCACTCTCCATTGGACTTATGCACTGGTCATATTGGACTATTAAAGTGAGTCTTGCTGACCACTCCCTGGCTCTCCAGTTCATGAATCATCTCACGGATGAGGGTCACATGGTCCTAGCTGGTGTGGTATCGCTGATGGTGCACTGTGGTGGTACCTGTTGTTCTTTGACCCTCAGCAGTCCCACAGCAGAGGTGTCTTTTGAGAGGCCAGGCAAGGTATTCAACAGTCTAATTTCCTCTGTCTCCACAGCAGCTATCTCAAAAGCCCAACAATGCCCTTTTGGATCCATGAAATACCCTCTCCTGAGGTAATATATTCCAAGGATACACAGGGCCTCTGGGCCAGTCACAAAGGGGTGTTTTTGCCATTCATTCCCAGTCAGGCTCACTTCAGCTTCCAGTACAGTCAGTTGTTGGGATCCCCCTGTAACCCCAGATATAGAGATGGATTCTGCCCCTACATATGTTGATGGCATCAGAGTACATCGTGCGCCAGTGTCGGCTAAAGCCTTATACTCTTGTGGGTCTGATGTGCCAGGCCATCGGATCCATACAGTCCAATAGATCTGATTGTCCCTTTCCTCCACCTGGTTGGAGGCAGGGCCCCTCTAGTTCTGGTCATAGTACTCATTGCTCACTTCTCATAAATATGAATTGAAACTCCCTTCAATAGGATCAGAAGGAACATCAGCCCTCCTATTCCATCTGAGGACTTGCCCACTTGAAGCTGGAGTGGCATTTATCCTTGGAGAATTTCCTGTTGTGGTTGTTCTTCCTTTCAACTCACATGCCCGTGCTGCTAGGTCACAGGTGGGTTTTCCATCCCACTTCCTCATGTCCTCTCTGTGGTCATGCAGGTAAAATCACAGGTTAGTGTGGTGGGTTGACCTTGGCTGGAAGCCAGGTGCCCACCCAGTTGCTCTATCGCTTCCCTTCCCGGTGGGACAGGGGAGAGAGTAAGGTGGGAAAAAAAAAAAACAAACCTCATGCAGTTTATTTAAAGTAAAAGGAGTAAAGTGAAGCCTGAATGCGCAGAAGTGAAAGATAGCAGGGTTTATTCTCTATTTCCCATGAGCAGTGATGGTCAGCCATTCCCAAGAAGCAGGGCTTCGGTACCTGTGACAGTATCTCAGCAGGTAGCCATTAGACAATTAATGCCTCCGTTCCTGCTCCTTGCTTCAGTTTTTTATATCTGGGCTGACATCATATGGTATGGAATATCCCCTTGGTCAGTGTGGGTCAGCTGGACTACTTGTGTCCTCTCCCAGGATCTCGCCCTCAATTGATGCTGTGCTCAGCAGTAGCCAAAACATAGGTGTGTTATCAACACACCTCTAGCTACCAATGCAGAGCGCAGCACTGTGAGGGCTACTATAGGTGTCTCAGTTTAATGAGACACAAGTGTTTTGCTAAGGATGAGTTATGAGGAAGACCCAAACTCCTCCTCCTGTCAATCTGAAAATAAGAGGCTCCAATTGCAAAACGTGTCGAAAAAGGAAAAAATAACAGCCCTTTATTTAAAGATATATGTGTATTGGTAGAACAACAAAAGAACGCAAATAAAACAACCAAATAATAATCCTGTACCCAAAAATAATCCCCTTCAAAACAAACAAAACAAAGGAAACAGTTCAGGTTTTGCCCTTTGGCGCAATTCTAAGCAGAGTCAGTAGGTGGCGCTGTTGGATCACTGGTGGTTGCACATGGCCCCACCCCGGGTGTGCTGGAGAAGCCAAAAATGGAGGTCTTCCCTCACCAGGAATGGGGAAAAAAGGAGGGAAAGAAAGAAAAATTCTTCCCAACGGGAATTTACTCTCTGCGGCTGGAACTTGTGGCATGGTTTCCCCTCTCCTTTGATGTGCACAAGAACCATTGCCAAAAAAAAATGGGAACGGAGGAGGGGAAGAAGGTGATCTCCTTCCTGAACAGTTCCTCTGTGATGAAAATCCAAGCAGGTTCCAGGCTGGGTAGAAATGAGCTAGCCGGGTAGCCAGACTGAGAACAAAACCACCTCGGAGCTCCTGCCACCCATACCTTGTCCCAGCTCAGGCAACAACAAAGTCCCTGCCATTTCCCAGGAGAGGAGAAAAAAAAGTAAAAAAGTACTCCTGAGGGCCATCAACTTGGAATGTGGCTTTACCAGCCACCTCTTTTGTGTTAGTCCATTGCCCAAGGCACAGTCAACCTGCCCATTCAACATCCTTTTCACACAATGGGCAGGGGGAAGGGAAAATTCCTGATTAGTTTCCCAAAACAAGCAAAACCATGACAGTGGGGAAATAAATTCTGACTCAGCCATACCCACCACAGTTAGCTTGTGGTGTGTACCCTCTCTCTCGAGCAGGAGAGCACTTACTCCCAATAGCAGAGACTCTGGTCCATACTGGGGGGGGCATGGGACATTTCCTCTCTAGCTTGCTCAAGTCTTTTGAGTCTGTCCAGAGTCTTGGACAGTCTTTTCACAGTCGAGGTCCAGATCAATAGGAAGGACAAAAAGATGATCTTCAGATTGCCAGAATCGGGTTCTTGAAGCATGTAAGCATGTTTGCTCTTCTTTCATCTGGATCTACAGGGGAATGGTCATTATTTGAATCCCTATAGATTACCTCCAGCACAGCTCATTCTCTCAGGTACTGGATACCTTTCTCCATGGTGTTCCATCTGCCTGGACACACTGCTAGATCATCCTTGAGAGAATACTTTTCCCTCACACTTGACAGGAGCTGCCTCCAGAGGCTGAGAGTTTCTGTCCTCTTCCCAAACCCCACATCCTGGGACAGGGATCCCAGTTGCTTGGCTTCACTACCATCTAGTTTCATATCATGGGCCACAATATCCCAGCATCAGAGCAGCCAGATGTCCCAGTTTAAGTGAGACAAGGGTCTTTTGCTGAGGATGGATTAGGAGGAAAAGACCCAAACTTCTCTTTCTAAGCAATTATAAATCCAAAATTAAGAGGCTCTGATTGAAGGAAAACAAATTATGGAAAAGGGAAAATAACAGCCCTTTTTTAAAAGGTATGTGTGTATTAACAGGAACACAAAAAAAAACAAGTAAACCAACCAAGCAATACTCCTATACCCACCAATAATCCCTTTCAAGAACAAAACCGATGGACCGGCAAAAGGAAAAATTTAAATAGTTCAATTTTTAGTACCCTTTGGTGCAGTTCCAACCACAGTCAGCAGGGGGCGCTGTCGGGTCACTGGAGATGCAAAATTTGTAATGTCCTGTACCGTTCACCAGGTGGCGCTGTTGGGTTACTGAAGGTGCAGAACTTGTAGTGTCCTATAGTAGTCACCAGGTGGTGCTGTTGGATCACTGGAGGAGTAGAACTTGTAATGTCCAGTGCCCGTCACCAGGCGGCGCTGTGAGATCCTTGGCTGCCGCCAGGTGGGGGGGGAGGGGGGGAAAGAAGGGGAAAGAAAAACAACAGCAATAAAACAGAAAGTTCTCTCAATGGAAGAAAACTCACAAACTTCAGCTGATTAGGGTCCGTTATAAGCAGGGCCTGCAGCCAGCCACAACTGAGCCGAGAGCAGCAGCAAAAACTCCCCTCCGACAAGAAAAAAAAAAAACAAAGAAACTTGGCAGTGTCTGCAGCCCGCAGCAGGCTCCCCTCAGGGTAGAGAGACTGCACTCTCCCCCCAGCCTCCACCCCCTTCCAGTCACACACCAGCCAACTCCTCCCCCTTTGTTGTCAAGGAAACTAATCTCAGCCATTAGAGGGCTGGGGACGATTCTTTTGTTCAACTAATGGCCCATATACAGAGCACACACACATGGCAGGGGGAAGGGAAAGAAAAATTCCTTGCTAAAATCGGAACTATGACACCAGATGTTATGATCTGGTTATTAAAATTATTAGAAATACCTCTGCCTGAATTAAGGTACAAACGAGAACAGATGCCAAAATCAATAGCATGGATTTTATTTAATAGTAAATGTGAGGCAGAGAAAGAGAGATAGAAAGAAATAGGAAAAGGAGGGGGGGAAGAAAGAGAGTGACAACGAGATTAAAATAGAAAATGTATCACCACTCTATGGAACTCGGTGGCATCCTGTGGGGTCCTGTTTGTCTGGTCTTCTTGATGGTGAGGGTCTCACAAAACATAGAGTCCAATGGATTAATATATGTTCAAGAGATGTCCAGGAACCTCCCTGGGGGGGAAGGGGGTGGGGAGGAAGCTTTGCAGTCTCTTGCGACAGGTTCCAGATTTGTTGAATAACTTGGATCATGTGCAGTCCTCTGGTGGTGGAAGGCCTCAGGAATTTGGGGGGGGAGAGGGGGAGTACTTTGAGGGTCTGATGGTTTATGACCCCTTCTCAGCTGCCTCTCACGTGAATGTCCTGTGTGTATGTGGTCTTCCCGGAGCGGAGGGGTTTACTCCTTCTGTTTGATGTGGAGAGATTTCACCATCACACCTCCAAAACCCTTCTCCTCCACCACCCGATGACCCTTGTTTACTTCTCCTCAGACCTGAGATAATTCGACAATAGTCTTATCTCAAGTTCCACGTCCCAGTCCAAATTCCAGTCAGGATGCATCTTCATCTTCAGAAGGTGGGGGTGCTTCAGTGATCCCAGAGAGGCAGTTGGTTCTTTGCAGTTTGACAAATAGTCTTTCTATGATTTCGTCAATGTTTAAGACATTCAGTCTATCATACCAGGTGACAGCTGAAATCTTTTTGCATATCTCGAAGCTCACCTGGGGATTGGGTGATTATCTCTGGCCCTGCCTCTACCTCCTGTTGTGAGGGCCCTGCTTCCTGTTCATCCCTCATTATGCAAACTGATTTGGTCTTGGATTTCTTCTTCTGTATAGGGGTGAGTGCTACCAGCATGAGTTGTTCCTCTGGTTCAGCTGCAGTTTGAGTGGCCACAGTGCCTGTTGGTCTGCTTTCCTCCTCCGCCCTCTGAGGGTGCTGTCTAGTATTGAGCAGTGTCTGATAAATAGTAGCCAGGGTCCAGCACAGTGCATAACTTCCTGCCTCTCTGGAGCTGCCACAGCATTTTTCTCCCACATATTTTATCACTTTAACAGGGTCCTGTAGTTGTTCAAGGGTGAACTTCCAAACCATTGGAGCAGAAAATTTTGCCAAAAACTGGCCAATGTCCTCTAATATTCCATGCCACTCATAACTATCCTCCCTCAGAGCAGATCTCTGAAAGGCCTTTGTAGAAATCTCTTTTGCAACTCTAAACATGGTATGGACCGCACTGAGGAAACCTGGCACTTAGCGAGAAGAACATGCTTTCGTTAACATCGAAAGGGAATTCAAAATTCTCAAAAGCTGCTGTAAGAAGCCTGAAGGAGGAAAAGGGGGTGAAAAGCTGGGGAAAAACATCTTCCCCTGTTCCCCCCACAGACTGGGTACGATTATTAATGGACTCTCAAAGGTAGTGCCTAAGGTAAGGATAGGAGAGCAACACTGAATACACATCCCAAATGACCCTCACTGCCCTTTGATGTGACTCGAACACAAGTCCTATGAGGAGAGGCTGAGGGAGCTGGGGTTGTTTAGTCTAGAGAAGAGGAGGCTCAGGGGTGACCTCATCACTCTCTACAACTACCTGAGAGGAGGTTGTAGCCAGGTGGGGGCCGGTCTCTTCTCCCAGGCAATCAGCAATAGGACAAGAGGGCATGATGTTAAGCTCTGTCAGGGAAGGTTTAGGTTGGATATTAGAAAGAAGTTCTTTCCAGAGAGAGTGATCAGGCATTGGAATGGCCTGCCCAGAGAGGTGGTGGATTCACCATCCCTGGAGGTTTTTAAGACGAGATTGGATGTGGCACTGAGTGCCATGATCTAGTAATCACAGTGGGGTTGGATCAAGGGTTGGACTTGATGATCAGAGTTCAGCAATTCCACAACTTCTACATAACAGGAAACAGATTACAGAAACTGTTTTACTAAAGTACTTAAAAGATTTTGGAAAATTTTAAAAATAAGTTTGTGTTGCATATAAAAAATGATTCTGAATTTAAAACTTATATTTGGTAAAATAGCCAGAAATTTCTGGGCAATCTGTAGCAGTATTTATTCCCCATGTTTCTAATTTAATTATATAAGTGAAAGCTCAGTGTACTTTAGACCAAAACCATTCAAGATTAACATCTCTTCATGTAAAAAGCTAATACTCTCTATTATAGTAACCTCATTTTACCCAAGGTATACAAGTGTTTCTCAGTTATTGTCATGGGTTTGTTCCCATCCCTCTCTGGGGCTGAAAATAGTTTTCTCCAGGTGTATTTCCAGAGAAAAAGCCAATCAAAAGTTTTAGTAACACCTCTGCCAATTACATATTTAAGAAAACAGAAGAGAAGGTTGTTGCGCAGATGAAATTAGTAGCCATGTAGGAGAGGAGGCAGGCCCCAAGTGGGTCAGGGCCCCCTCCTCCCCTGGCCCAGGACAGGTGTGGCACTGAAGCCCCCCTTCTCTCTTGTAAGAGAGTAGAGAAAAAAAAACTTTGGAGAAAAACTGCCTGGACAAGACATACTGCTGAAGAAATTCCAGGCAGAGATAACGGGCCTCCAAGGTCAAGCTGGCAGCCAGAGAGAAGAGAAAATCCGTGAATGGGGAAAATTCCTTCTCTCCTCCTCTCTCTCTCTCTTCCTTCAGCAGGGAAGAGACCGAAAACTAAAAATCCCTACCACCTGTGGAAAACTGTTGAAGAGTGGAGACCCTCTGCAGTTCATGAAGGAGAGACCTATGCTGGAGTGAGACAGCCCTGGGTAGGATGTGGGATCCGAGTGAGGGATCCATGCTAGTGCAGCTGAATTGGTGACCCTGAGGGACAGCAGAGAATGGAAGACCTGTTGCTTGACGGATGGACCCACATCAGAGAGGTCTATCAAAGACTGTTCTCCCATGGGAAGGGACCCCACAGGAAACAGGGGTGGACTCAAAGCCATTATCCCCTGTGACTCTGTGGTGAAGATCCATGGTAGGCAAGTGTCCCCTTGCAGTCCATGGAAGACCCTACAGGACCTGGGTAACCCCCCAGGCTCTGGTCTTAGCCCAGGAGGGGGGTAGGCCCAACCCTGAGGTCAACATAGAAAAGGGAGAGAAAGAGAAACAGTTCCAGCTGTGACGAATCGGAGTTGTCATCCTAGAGATAATAGAAGAAGAACTTTTGAGTGCTGCAAAATTATTTAAAAGACCTGGAGCTCCAAAAATGGAACAAAGAGTACTTCTCCTCCTGATCTGATACAAAGGGGGGAGAGGTATTTTTGTAAATACATAGCACTTTTGCCTAATTAGAATTGTTGTAGATATAGTTCTTTAGTTTTTAACTTGCTAGTAATAAATCCTAATATTATTCTCCCCAATCAGGTCTCTTTTATCTGCATAAACCTTCTCTCAACTTATAGCAATTGTGTGAGGAGTGAGAGAAATTGGCCCAGAGCAAACCCATGACAGCTATTAAGGTGATTCTAAAATTCCCATGAGTGCTTAGATGCATACTACTTCTTGAGTTAGTGTGAGAAGGCAGACAGCTGCAAATACTGATTGCACAGAAAAACAGAGTAGATAAAACAATAAAAGGAACATGCAGTTCTCAAACACATTTTGATTTTCATAGAATCCTAGAAAGGTTTGGGTTGGAAGGGACCTTGAAGACCATCTAGTTCCAACTCCCTGCCACATGCAGGGACACCTTCCACTAGACCAGGTTGCTCAGAGCCCCATCCAATCTGGCCTTGAACATTTCCAGGGATGGGGCATCCACAGCTTCTCTGGGCAACCTGTGCCAGCACCTCACCACTCTCACAGTAAAGAATTTCTTCCTAATATCTAATCTAACCCTGCCTTCTGTCAGTGTGAAGCCATTATTCCCCCTTGTCCTGTCACTCCAGACCCTTGTGAAGAGTCCCTCTCCAGCTCTCTTGGAGCCCCTTTAGGCACTAGAAGATGTTTCTCTTTTCCAGGTTGAACAACCCCTACTCTCTCAGTCTGTCTCCATAGCAGAGGTGCTCCAGCCCTCTGATCAGCTTCATAGTCCTTGGTCTTTGGTCAAACTACAAAAGTTTGATGAGAGAAGTTCAGGCAGTTTGGTTCCCCCCCCTTCCCCCCTAAGTTCAGCAAGAAAAATTTGACACTAAGTGGATTATCCTAATTTCAACCTATACTTTTATAATGCTCATTAGCACTGGTTAAGCATTCACAATCATCCTTCACCCCTATTCAACCCTTTAATCATCACGTTACACTGAAGAAATCAGACTGATAAATAATTTATAATCAAAAGTATAGTTTTTAAGTCATAACCTGCTTAATCCTCTTTTTAAAATAGCCTACCAAGCCCACAATTTATTCTCCAGGAGACAGGAAGACAAATATTCCAACTGCCATGTTTGGAAGTGGCAATCAACCATAAAAAGTTTAGGTTCCTAATTTACTTCAAATTGTCATAAAATGAAAAATGGATGATCTCCAAATTAACTTTCCAAACCCTAGTTCAACCTTACAGCTGCCTACAGCAATCATGATATATCAATGAAATGTGACCAAAAGAGCCATCCCCTCTTGTTAAATGAACACTAAATAGGAAATGTCTAGAAAAGAATTAATGTGAAAAATAGTTACTTGTTTCATTTTCTGGGGTGACAACTGAAGCATTTGTATCCTTTAACCCTTGTTTTAGTCAGCTCCAGAGAAGCTGTCCTACAGCTAGATTTACACTTAAAAATACTACCCAAACTATTCTGTCAGACAGCAGAATGAAAAAACCACACATAGCCCTGTCCAACATATCATGCATGCAAGAATACTAATACAGACAAATGATAATGGCATAAAAGTCCTTTTGGTAGAAAAAGTGTCTGTATCAAGATAATTCTAGAGTTGTTCCAGAGTTGCACCAATATGCACAACTCCCTCATAAAGGTGAAATAAAGTATTTGCTGCAACTAGGTACAACTTTTAAACAACTACAAGATTTGATTTATGCTGCTTAAAAGATACCATGTTTGTTAATTATTTACAGATTTTAGTGCAACAATAGAAACTGGGTGTACATTGCTGTAATTCTAAAATGAAAGTTTCACATATTAACCAAAACCAATCTTCTCTTTACCCATAAACTTAGAAAGACATATACTAGTCATTATTGTTTGTTCATTTGTGTTGTCAACTTCTTTTCATTTACCTAACTCCAGGTAAATTTAAACTCATTTTAGATGCTCTGATAAACATCACTGTCATTTTGTTTACAATTGTTGCTGCTTGCTGCAGTTTCAAATAAGTAACACATTTCATACTTTCCACCTAGGCAATTACTTAATGGACCCTGTATACATGAAAATTTTCCTCTGATTAATATTATGATGTTATATTTTTGAAAGCTAGCTAACAGTCATTTTCAATTACCGAGTATCTGAAAGAGTTACATAAAATTGAGAGTATCAAAATTTAAAAAAAATAGTCACCTGATGTTTACACTGGCAACATATCTTCTTCAGTTCTGAAAGTTTTGAGGAGTTTAAACACAAAAGCAACCTGGCAATTTCAGTTTTCTTCTTCCAGTTTCAATAAATTAAATAAAGGTCATCTCCAGAGAAGCTCTATGCATATGAAGGAAAACAGACATTTTATTTATATCTAGATAATTAAAAATATTTTTGAACAAAAAGATGAAAAGTTGCCAACTCCTGCTAAATACACACACAGAGGGAAGAGGCTGAGCAAATATTGTGCAACAGCTCTCTTGAAACAGAGCATCTAACTGTATGCCAAGCAGAAGAGTAGCACTGTATAAACAAGTGAATGGAACTCCAGGTGGAAACATGACAAGTTTCATTATCGCTCATATCATATAAGCTCATATGAGAATGTGTCATGCTTATTAGAGTGAGCTTCTTCACAAAGCTAAAATAATAAACCCTGGACAGAGTCACATGTTACAAAAGAACTTGAAAAGAAAGGAATCTTCCTCACAACCATTTCTCAAAAATCTACAGGTAACACCAGCAATTAAAAAGACAAAATAAAAAACAATTAATCAAACTCAATTTAAAAACATATGTTTATATCCCAGAACTTCCAGAGTTACCATGCACAGCATTACACAGAGACCAGTATCAGCTATATATAGAACTTCCAATAGTTAAACCAAATTAATCTACAACAATTATACTGACTGGCTTAGAAGTGGTTTAAAAGACTCACAATTAACAAGAGCATGCCTGCACCAGTCAGTTTTAAAAAAAAAAAAAATCAAACTTATGTCAAAGGTCATGCAACACTTCCCAAATAGTGCTAAGAAAACAGTAAGTCAAGTACCAGTGTACTCAAAGTGACAAAACCAAGCTATGTATAATGGAAATAACTTACTTTACTGTTTCAGACAAACTACAGTCACAACGAAAACAAGTTCCATTTCATGCAAGGATCAATAATCCAAATCCAGATTTTAATTTTTTCCTCCACGTATAACTATCCAAGTAAAAATATAAATATTTGCACAGAAATGACTGACAAATTATGTTTCTAAAACAGACTGGAAAGTCTGTAGTTTCTCTAGCTGGTACGTCCTAAGGACCTCGCTGCCACCGTCCAAGCTCGCTTGGCCCCGGCAGATGAACCTTAGGATTAAGGGGTGGGCTCAGTTCCGCGCACACTGTGTCTCACCTAAAAAATCCAATGCGCAGGCTGGAAGGTGGAAAGACCTTCCCCGGATCTTCGCTCGCGAAGACTGGCCATTATTATTATTATGCGGTTCAGGCTGTACCTTCTGTCATTCAGATAGAACTGAGTTGTCGGTACAAAAGTATAAAGTTCCGAGACGCAGTTTTGCTTCGATATGATACAACTGTAAGTTGATACAGTTAGTGCCGTTCCCCCAAACAACTGCATTGTATGGGAGACTTAACGAAGAGATCAGACTGCAGTAGAAGCCCTATCTACGCATCACAGTGTCTGCAAGTGTAAGACCCCCTACCGAATGGTGTCCCGCTCATATCTGCACATCCCTTGGGCCAGCAAACCCTCTCCAACATCGTTTCTCCCTAATAGGCCCCCGAGCACTGCGCGGGGCAGGGCGCTTCACCACCCCCCCACCCCACCCCCCCCCGGCCCAGCTTGGCCGAGGGGCTAAGCGCGGCAGGCGCAGGAGGCCACCGAAGGAGTCATAGAGTGCCGCGGAGTGAACAGCGGCCACCGTCCCTCCGCCGCACTCCCCGCGGCAAGGCCCAAACCCAGTCACCAAGGTGACGCAAGAGTCGAGGTTGCTCCTGCGGAAAGTACACCGGGTGCGGTGCGGTGCGCTGCGCCCTGCCCGTCCGGAGGAACCGGCCCGCGGCACTTCCTTACCCAGAAGCTATCCGCGAAGTATGCCATCGTCACGGCGCCTCCACGGCCCTGAGCGAGCCTAGCCTCGGCCGCCGAGACGCAACGGAAAAAACAGACACCGCCACGACGCACCACCCTTCCCGTTAAGATGGAACCGCCTTCTTCCACAAAGCTTCGCCACCCCCAGCCTCACGCATGTGCCCAGCTGCCGTCGGGCGCTGCGGCTCTTGCGCAGGCGCGTCGCAATCTCCCCCCGGGTGGAGGAGCGGCGCACGCATACCCAGACAGTACCTGCCCCACCGCAGCTTAGAAGTGCTATCTCAGAAGTGAAGAAACCCTGAACTCTATAGAAATATGAATATAGTTGCAGAAGGCAGACACAGAAATCTTGGGCAAAAATCCCTCTAAAATATTCAAAGGAAGGCTAGAATGCATATGAATTATGTGACACCCAGGAGAATAGATTCATGACGTTTGAAGTGGCTTCATAACCAAGCATCTTTCCATCGACATATGATCTTTCAAGGCATCTGATGACTACAAAGCACTTTATTAACAAAGTGTAGCTTACCTTCTCCAGTACCTCCTCTTACAGGATTTTACAGTTTCAGTGACAGGCTCCTAAAAACTACACTACATCTAAAGTCAAAGAGTCTGAAGAAACTATTTATTTCAAACCTTAATCATAGAATCAACCAACCAGGTTGGAAAAGACCTCCGAGATCATCAAGTCCAACCCTTGATCCAACACCACTGTGGTTACTAGACCACGGCACTAAGTGCCACATCCAGTCTCATCTTAAAATCCTCCAGGGACAGTGAATCTACCACCTCCCTGGGCAGCCCATTCCAGTGTCTGATTACTCTCTCCATAAAAAATTTCTTCCTAATATTCAACCTAAACCTCCCCTGGCAGAGCTTAAGATCGTGCCCTCTTGTCCTACTGCTGGTTGCCTGGGAGAAGAGACCGACGCCCACCTGGCTACAACCTCCTGTCAGGGAGTTTCTTTCTATCAACATTCTCCCAAAGTTTCAGTATATACAAAGTTTGCTAAGTTGCCAATGCCAAGACAGAGGAAATTTCTGGACTCCTTTCATAGTTAAAACTTCTTTAAAAGTCTCAGGACTGTTAGATCTGGATCTCTCTCATTTGATAATAGGAGTAGGCATGTGTGCTTTAATTTTAAACAATAACGTTATAGGACTACATTTAAGAAAAGCTATTTATGCACCTGTTTACTTGACATAAGTAAGAAGCCTGCATTATAATTATCTTAGCCTAATGGAAGATATGACTTGACTTGAAGAAGGGACTTGAGCACAAGTCCTATGAGGATTGGCTGAGGGAGCTGGGGTTGTTTAGTCTGGAGAAGAGGAGGCTCCGGGTGACCTCATCACTCTCTACAACTACCTGAAAGGAGGTTGTAGCCAGGTGGGGGTCAGTCTCTTCTCCCAGGCAATCAGCAACAGGACAAGAGGGCATGGGCTTAAGCTCTGCCAGGGGAGGTTTAGGTTGGATATTAGAAAGAAGTTCTTTCCAGAGAGAGTGATCAGGCATTGGAATGGCCTGCCCAGAGAGGTGGTGGATTCACCGCCCCTGGAGGTTTTTAAGACGAGGTTGGATGTGGCACTGAGTGCCATGATCTAGTAATCACGGTGGGATTGGATCAAGGGTTGGACTTGATCTTGGAGGTCTCTTCCAACCCAGTTAATTCTATGATTCTATGATTCTATGACTGTACTACTTTTTGCAGTGTGTGTTGCTGTCTGTAAGGATATGTACCAGGGCAATGAGACAAAAGCTCCATGATCAGAGCTGAATCTTTGGAATTTTTTTCCATAGAAAATATAAAAATAACTTTCACATGGATGAATACTATGTTATGAAAGAAGAAGAGTCAGGTTCACTTCTACATTTAAGAGGGAAGTTCCCATCTTCCACATTTTCAAAAGTATATAGTAGTCCTTTATCTAATGCTACATCAAGATGTGAAGCAACTGCTCCAGTGCTGCAACTATCTACCATCACACAAGTATCAAACCCATTCTCAAGTTTTCAACAACAGCTTTCCACAAAAACCAGAGTGAAATGCTGTCGTGGTTTTGCCCACCAGCCCATCCCTGGGGCTGAGGATGGTTTTGTCCAGGTGATTTCCGGACAAAAAACCAATCAAAAAGTTCAGTGACGCCTTTGCTAATTACATCTTTAAGAAAACGGAAGAGAAAGTTGGTTGCGCAGTTGAAATTAGAAGCAGCAGCCATGTAGAAGAGTAGTGGGCCTGAGGAGGGCCAAGGCCCCCTCCTCCCCGGCTTGGGCCGGGGGGGGGCAGGTGTAGTACTGAAGCCTCCCTTTTCTTCTGTAAAAGAGTGAAGGAAAAAAAAGTTTAAAAGACGAACTGCTTAGACGAGAAACCGCTGCAGAAGAATTCCAGCCATGAGATAACAGGACTTCCAAGGTCAAAGCTGGCAGCTGAAGCTGCAACAGGAGAGAGAGAAGAAAAGTTCGAAGGGGGGAGAGCTGCTTTTTTCTCCCTTTCGCTCTCCCTCCCTTCAGCAGGGTAAAGACTGAAAAGTAAAACCCTGCCACTTGTAAAAATTTGTTGGGGTGAAGAGACCCCCCGTGCGGCTCACAGAGGAGCTTGTGGATGTACCAGAGATTTGTGACTTTAACAGAAAGAGAAAGCCTTATGCTGGAGCAGAAGCGGCTCGGATGAGGCAGAGTCCTGTTAAAGACTTTGCGACCCTCAAAGGGATCGATGCTTATGCTGGAGCGAGACGGCTCAGATAAGCTTGGGATCTCAGTGAGAGATCCATGCTGCTGCTGTTAACGATTTATAACCCTGAGGGGGATGAGGACCTACGCTGGAACAGAAGACGGCTCAGGTGGGATGTTGGGATCCATGTGTGGGATCCATGCTAGACCATGTTGGAGAGGTCTATCAAGGACTGTTCTCCCATGGGGAGGGACCTCCATAGGGAAACAGGGGTGAACTCTTAAACCATTATCCCCTGTAACCCTGTGGAAGAAGATCCATAGTAAGCAAGTGTCCCCTTGCAAGCCTATGGAAGGAAACCCTTCAGGACCTGAGTAACCCCCAGCCTTTGGTTTTAGCCCAGGAGGGGGGTAGACCCAGCCCTGGAGGCCAACACAGAATGAGAGAGAGATAAAGAAGTTCCAGCTGCAACGAAAGTGCTGCAGAGTTACTAGAGAAAGAGAGAGAAAGCTGGAATTCTGAGAATAGAAAAGGACTGCTTCTCCTCCTTGGACTGATATAAAGGGAGGTGGGGGGAGAAGTATCTTCTGTAAATACATAATACCTTTTACTTAAGTAGAATTGTTGTAGATATACTTCTTTAGTTTTAGCTTGTTAATAATAAATACTCATACTTTTTTCCAATTCAGTCTCTTTTTGTCTGTATAAACCTTCTCTCAACTGATAGTAATTATATGGGGAGTGTAAAAGTAAATTGAGCCAGGGGAAAACCACGACAAATGCAAAATCTTAAGACTTGAACTTTAGGACATCCTGCAATATATATACAGTTACCTAGAAAACTACTTTGATAAAGGATGAAGATCAGGATCAGTAGTTATGAGTTATGTTCTTGTCACAATGGAATTGCCCACAAAAAATTAATTTCTTCAGCAGCAAACATTCTCTTGAATGCCATATACAATCATATCATCAAAGAATATTCTGAGTTGGAAGAGACTCACAAGGATCATCCAGTCCAGCTCCTGGCCCTGCACAGGACCATCCCCAAGAGTCACACCATGTGCCTGAAAGCATTGTCCAAAAGCTTCTTGAACTCTGGCAGGCTTGGTGCCGTGACCACTTCTCTGGGGAGCTTGTTCCAGTGCCCAGCCATCCTCTGGGTAAAGAACCTTTCTCTTATATCCAACCTAAACCTCCCCTGACACAACTTCAGGCCATTCCCTCGAGTTCTGTTGCTGGTCACCAGAGAGAGAGCAGTGCCTGCCCCTCCGTTTACTCTCATGAGGAAGTTGTAGACTGAAATGAGGTCTCCCCTCAGTCTCCTCTTCTCCAGGCTGAACAAACCAAGTGGCCTCAGCTGTTCCTCATATGACTTCCCTTCAAGGCCTTTCACCATCTTCTTTGCCCTCCTTTGGACACTCTTAATATCTTTCTTATATTGTGACGCCCAAAGCTGCACACAGTATTCAAGGTGAGGCTGCACCAGTGCAGAGTAGAGTAGGAAAATCCCCTTCCTCGACCGACTGGTGATGCTTTGCCTGATGCACCCCAGGACAAGGTTGGCCCTTTTGGCTGCCAGGGCACGCTGTTGACCCCCCAGCTCCCTTTCCGCAGCACTGCTTTCCAGCCTCTCATTCCCCAGTCTGTATGTACATCCAGGGTTGCTCCACCCCAGGTGAAGAATCTGGCACTTTCCCTTGTTAAACTTCATACAACTGGTGATTGCCCAGCCCTCTATTTTAATAATGAGCTCTACCAGCAACAAAGGGCTGCTCTTAAACTTTACCACCCTATAATCTGTATGCAGATCTTAAAGTAGCACATAGTGAAAAATCCTTACTAAGGACAGTCCTATTATGCACACTATTCCTTTGGAGACTGGGGTGGTTAAGAAAGTCCTAGATTACTGATTGCCTTGCTTTAAGTGCTGCTGGATATAAAAAGAGGGATATAGTATAGATATATATAAAATATATAAAGATGAAAAGCAACTTTTTACACAGGCAGATAGTGATACGACAAGGGAGAATGGTTTTAAACTAAAAGAGGAGAGATTTAGATTAGATATTGGAAAGAAATTCTTTACTCAGAGGGTGGTGAGGCACTGGAACAGGTTGCCCAGAGAAGTTGTGGATGCCCCATAGGGAAGTGTTCAAGGCCAGGTTGGATGGGGCTTGGAGCAACCTAGTCTAGTAGGTGTCCCTGCCCACAGCAACAGGGTTGGAACTAGATGATCTTTAAGGTCCCTTACAACACAAGCCATTCTATGATTCTATAACATTCTATGCTAATACTTACTCTCCTCATCTTGTTTGTATGTAGAAGTAGTAATTAATCTCAGACTCAAATTTAGAAGCCATAGCTTAAGATCATGCTCTGAGTCTAGAGTCAGATATTTTGTTCAAGTCCCCCCTTGACAAAACCAAAACTACACCCCACCTTCCCAGTCACTGGTGTATTCATGTCTTATAGCCAATAGGAACTGGTCTCTTTTTTAATCAACTTGGTCTCTACACACTTATACTGCTGTCAACAGCTATTCCATGGCTGCCTCCTCTTTCTGAAGGCAGAAATCCAAGTCCTTAGTTAAGCAGGCTTTCAGCCAAGTATGTAGCAATTCATTTCTACTATACATTTTATTATGAATTTACTTAGTAGTTATATCATAATAATGTATTTAATTGAGTTTGTTACAATACAGAAGCTCCCTGTGATAGACATATGTAATTGTCTAGATTGTTTATATGTTATTGACCAACTGTAAATATTGGAAGTGAACATAAAACTGTCAAATCAACATGGGTAGATTTGGTATAGAGAGCTAATTTCATACTTTCATTTTAGAGACTCCTGTATCAGGAAGTTATATAAGTTTAAGAACAGAACTTTAAACAGTTTGCATTATCATCCCATAAAAGCTAGATAAAATTAGACTAAGACTATTGCAAGATTTGGTTCAAGGTCTTGAATGATTTTAATTTATTTTTAGTTTACTCCAGTTTTTATTCAGATTATTGATAAACACAAGTAATGAGAATGACACCACAAGGCTCCAGCTAGGAGAAATGAGAACAAGATGATACCATACATCTATCAAACAAGTGAACAGCAGAGGAGGATGGCACCATAAAATCACCAAACAAGGAGATAATGCAGGAACAAACTATTGATAAGACCAAACAAGGATTTGGCTTGGACTTTTGTGCTAACCTTAGTCAGATAACCAGAATAGTGAAATTCACACCCATAGGTGGTAAAAGCCCCTTACTCACCTAAGCTCCTTCCCCATAGAGCATGCATGGTAAAATAAATGGGTACCGTGTCAGATTTACCTAGCTAGCATCAGCTGTTTCAAACAAAAATAACAGTCAATGTAACGTTTCTCAGTAGTAGAGCAGTATCACCCCACAAACATTAATTTCAGTTCAGGTAAATTTCCTATGTCTACATTTATCAGCCCCCAAGTGGCATAAAACATTTAAACTGAATTGACTTTAACTTATAAAAGGATCACTTTCATTCATAAAAAAATGAAAATCCTCTTTATTCAAGAGACTCCAGAACTTACATGTGTGAACCAGAAAAGTATTCTACTGAGTCAGACAAAACACAAACTGAACATGACATTTTAATTTTTCATTAAAAATTGGAATGCCACATCTATCTTTTAACAACTTTATTAATATAGTCAAGCAGGGATTAGAATCAACATCTTTTATGTCACATCATACAAATGTAGATACAAAATTACTACAGTACAATATATATTCTTTGCATGATCCAAAATATTTGGTGGCCCCAAAAACTCTAAAATTCAGCAGCTTATAAAAAATTAAAACAATATCCTATTTAAAATGAAGTTCTGTGAGCAAATAGGCAGACTTCAAGAAATATCAATTTAGTACAGTTTGAGAGGTTGCAGGAGGATATGTTTGAAGGATACATTCCAACATTGTGTCAAACACAGAAACATCAATTTGAAATCTTTCAAGCAAAACTCATACAACCTAAGTTGTCAGCAGAAAGATCAGTCATCTTTAATTTTAAATAATTTTCTATACTGCATCCAATTAAAAATTTTAGAAATGTTTAGTATTAGTAAATCAGACTCTACCTATCTCTTCCCATGAAAAAGGAAAGCATTATACCGGAGGTTTCAACAGCCAAAGAAACCTGCTTATACCCATCTTTTTTTTCTGATCACTGCACCATCCCCACAAAAGTCACCCGGGTCTTCTCAGTTTTGTTGTTCACGCAAAGTAAGAAATTAATTACCTAAGGTGAAAGTAGCACAATAGAAACAGCTTATAGAAAAGTGACATTATACTATAAGCACTGAAGTCTTTGAGATGTGGACTTGACTTACTTAAAAAGTATACTGTAACACCAGACAGGGATCCACCTTTTATAGAGATATTTTAACTTCCCTCACAAATACATTCAAGTAAGTATCCTTATTATTTTAGGAGAATATACTCTACAAGGCAAGCAACAAGAGTATTCACCTCAGAGTTTTCCATTTAAACTAATTACCTAAAACTGTCTTGCTCCAACCATTATGTGCAAAGAGCAAGCATCAACAGCAGACAAAAAAAAAGTAGACTGATGGATGTGAGTCATTCTGGTGAACACATAGGTGAGTGAAATACACAGCTACTGATCAAGCTTTATTTACTCAAGATGAGGTACTGGAAATACGTAATATATAACAAATATGTATGCAAACTACATCAGCATCTACCTAAAGTAACTTCAGGATATTTTGCAATTTACAGCAGTTATTTCACTGTAGAGCTTAACCTTTATATAAAATAAAGAGTTACTCTTTGGATCCTATATAGAAGCTTTATGCATTTATGCTCATGAAAGAGAGAGCATTGAAACAATTAGTGTTAATTTGCAACTTCTTTCCTTGACAAAATCTAAACCAAAAGATTTCCAATACAATGTTACATTTAAAACATTTTTCAAGTTGTTTGAATATGGATGCATTCTCCTCAAAGGAAGAATGTTTTTGCACCTTTACGTGTTAATACATTCTATATTAATAAAATAGATGAATCAAAAGTTGTTATTGTTCAACAGTAGAAGGTTAATTTAGAGTAAGTTTAAGAAAGAGGAGCTGCCTCACATGAAATACATAAACTGATATAATTAAGACACATCTGTATTCTGAACAAAAAGTGTACAAGAGTATTCACCTGAGATAAAGCTATTATTTGAATATTTCTAAGTAGCAATGTTTCACTTGAGGAAAACTACTTGAAGCTTTAAAATATTCATTTTACTATTATACAATATATGCAGTATAAGTAATTAAAATTGATGCTTACATAAAAGTCCTAGACAAAACCCCACCAAATCCACAGTGTATCAATAATTTTAGTTACAAAACTTATGTTACTTCATAAGTTTTAAAAATTATAATTATTATGAATTTTTATAACTCATTCTTCCAAAACTGATCTTTTGAGTACAATCTTTAAGGAGTAATAAACTAAAGCATAAGAATTAGCTTATTACAATTTAAATATATACATATTTACCAATTTAGAAAATAATCAAACTTTGGGAAATAATTTACAAAATTGATTTGCTCGCACTGCTTAGAATAATGAACTATTCTAATCAGTTTTTCCTAAATGAAAAGAGATGCTTCCTGAATGTATAAAGAAAAAAATTAGTATTGAACTTCTATTTTGACAGCAATTTAGAACTGCCAAAAAGATGCATTTTATAAGGATTTTAAATACCCTTTCTTAGGTTTATCAGCATCTTTTCCTCACTCTGAATCCTTCAAAAAGGAAAACTTAAAACAGGAAAAAGGCATATATAAAAACAGTAAACACTGACCTCCTGAGGCTCCTACAACAAAAGTATTCAAGTAGAAAATCTACGCCGTTACTTAGCAGTGGCTATTTTTGTAGTTTAGCACACTAACAGCACTTTATTCAGTGTGTAAGGAGCAAATGAATCTGTGCTTTTAGCATGCCAAGAGGGAGGAACACTGGAATGTAACAAACTCACAATTCTACCAATATAAACATTCAGTCAACATTCAAGAACTGTCAAGACTGTACCAAAAGAATTAAAATGCTTTTTATATATCCCATGATGCAATAATTGAATTATAATTGTTAATGCTGATTCAGAACTTTTCTTGCCTCAGATTAAACCCTAAATGGCTTCTGCAAATCTCTGCACTATATTATGCATTAGGAATATGGTTTATTTGCTTTAAACTATACCACAAGAGAACTTACTGATACAACAGTCAGTACTGTTTATTTTTGTTGTATTTTACTTGCTGTTATACCAGATCAGTTCACATCTGTATAAATGCCTATTAAAATACTATGTACAAAAGTGGCGTCCTAAACTAATCTGAGGTGAAGTGGTTTTATTTGGTTAAAGGGCCTTTCTGAAATTTAAAAAGTTTAGTTAAACCCAGATTCTAACTGTAATGTTACAGTATTATTTGGGTAGGTTTTCTATTCTAGAATTTCTTTTAATGTCATTTCTCTGAAACTGTTCCTTAATGTTCAAACACACTCAAAATTATAGCAAATTTGTGTCTAAAATAATATCCTACTCATTTTTTTTTCTTCTTCCAGAATTTGTTTTCAAAGTGTTTTTAGTGACTAAAACTATTACTAATTTTCTTTGGTGCTATTAGTTAAGAAAAAATTGTGTTTGCTACCAAAGCAATGTAATTTGAAAGGAAGTTATCACATGCAATTTTAACCAATTTGAATAAATACTATGTTATTAGCATTACTGAATGTACTTTATACAGTACATGTTCAAAGTATTCTCCAGGCATAATCCATTCATATTTGCAAAGCCACAAAAACCAAAAAAGGGTGAGATGAAGAATGGGATACATTTAAAATGTACATGCATTAAAAAAACCCACAAAACTCTTTAGAAAGCATTTATAAGTCCACACTCATACAGCTCAAACTTCAGTGCAATGGCTAATCATTTAACACACAAAGAACAGAATCATGCAAAGAGCAGCAAGTTCTTAAAAGACGAAAACCACACAAAAACTGCAAACAGACAAAACCCCCAAACCCCCACAAACAAACCACATAACACCAAAAAACCCACCCCAAACTGTTTTCCAATATCCAATTTTGCAATGTAAAGGTGAGAAAAGAAATCTATAAAAAGACTGTTATGGCTTAGTTTTGTTTTGCAGATTAATTATGCAGCACTTGAAAAATGGAAAGGTGCGGTTTCGCCTCTGACCAGCACAGTTAAGTCTCTCCATTTTCCTTTATCATTATGGGACATTCTTTAAGTAATCTAAATTAATAAAGACTTCCCATTTTAAGATGAACACAAGATCAAGTGTACCAGTTAGGATTTCACATAAGAAAATACACATGGAAAGAAAAGTAAAGGATTAACTTAACAAAGATTTATTCACAGGAATACATGTAAGTAGAGAAAAAAAAAAAGAAAAAAAATATCAACAGAAAAGCTAAACAAATGAAATGAAGAGGATCCAAATCAACTTTCACTCTTTAGCTTTAAACTTGCACCCTTGTGCATTTCATTACATCACAAAGGGTCACCAAAATGTGCCAATACATTGTAGATGCCCTGCATTACATCCACTAACTTAAACATCTCTAAGATCATGCTGTGAACAAAAACAAAGCATAAAAGGTAATACATTGAGTGAGAATAAAAGCAATTATAGTAATCATCAACAACTTCTACAATTGTCTTTATGTGCCAACTAACATTTATGTAGCCTTTAACGGGTCTTACCATGTAACTCATTTTTAGAAATTCTGCTAAAAATCACTACCATATAACCATGCAGAAAGCACATCACACTGACAGCACAGAGGCTAATATTTTGCACAGTTATATCAGCTTTCCACATTGTGCAGGTTACACACAATATGATATGAATATTAATCTTAACAGATCCTAAAAAGGTATTTCAAGGCCTAATTTTGAACTACAGTACTTTATAACTATATTCTTTAAAAAAAAAATCCACAAAATTTCAACCAAAGGATTTTAAATGCAGGGCTATATTGCATTGGTAAACTGCAATATAAGACTGGGGCAACATAGGTAAATGAATACCAGTTTCACTCTATGTGATGCAAGCATGCTACTTTCCCACTAAATTAAATTACTTCTGATCACTATGAGCCAGAATGCATGCCCAGACCTTAAACTGCATGTTAAGAATAACACCCTACTCTAGAAATTGAATCTAGTTAAGTACAAAAACCAAATGATTAATTTGTTTTAAATGCAAAAATTAGTATGCCAATCTTTCCTTTGGTGTGCCCCTCCCTTACCCCAAAAATGAAACGAGTGACTCATTTGGCAGCTTACAGGTTACTTCATTTCATCCAGGTTAACCTCTTTTAATTTACGACAGGGTTTCTATACTGTATACTGCAAGTGCCTGCTCCTAATACTGATACAAGCTGCATTTTATTTTGTTTAGTTATTCATTAACATGCAAATTTTCTAGGAATCCCATTAAGCAGGGTGAAACAATGTAGAAAACCCTTACTTTTAAAAGAAAAACATAAAAGAAAAAAGAAAGCCTTTTACTGTTTGTGACCTCCATTTATAGGTTTCCTTTATTGTGCGTAAAATAGTTTTCCTCTTTATGTATTCCTATGGTTCAATTATATGGTTCTTATTTTGGTAAAATTCCCCACAATAGTCCAGAATGTGCTGTTTTGTTAATAGACTTTTTCTTCTTCACATCCAGTGCAGAGTTGTAATAGGAGACTATTTCCACTCACAAAGGTTCCAGATGTTAAAACATTTCCCAACATCGACTTAATACAGTGACAGTAACACCTCCCTCCCACCCCTCCCAGTAGGGTTGGGACTGTACTGTATTCCCTACTGGTTCACCCTTCCCCCCAGTAAAGGGTAACATTTTCCCTGGGTGCAGAAGCTCCCTCATAGTCTCCCAGACTGAAGGACCTGTAAAAGAAAAGATAGAGGTATAGTTAAATCTTACCTTGAACCTTAACTGACAGATCATTGCATAAACAAAGAGCTTTTTGCCTTTTTTAAGTGGTAGGTGCCAGCCTTTAATGTAAACCCAAATTTCTGCCTAGATTTTCCCTTTTAAGTTTATTTAAGAAAAGAGCCCATTTATACCAGATAAATTAATGAAACAACACCGTATACTTTAAAGCTACACTGACAATTCCACTATTGTGACTAACCTTAGATCAAAGCAGTCCTATATATTCTAACAAGCTTTTACCTTTTTAGTACAACATTATGAGGTTGAGAAAGAATATTAAACATACCTTCTACTAAGCTAACAATTTCACTTTTAGGTGGATTAAACAAGATAGTTTGTACTGAGGATACACTATGGCTGAGACTAATTGACAACTTTACCTCTTTGGATTCCTCCCCATTAGGATGATTAACTCCATTAATTTCAGAACTAAAATTCCGTAATTTATAAATATATAATGTTTGGAATTGGTTTATTTTTAATCCATTGTTCAGATCAAAAATGTAAATCAAACAATTTCTTATGTCACTGTCTGACAAGTCCTAGGCTGACTTTTTAAACAGATTTGCATGATTCACTCACATAATTTCAGCACAAAAATCCTACAACAAGTATCAAATTTATATAAAGACTGAATGATTAAACTTAATTGGCCCCCTTTTTCTGGATAGTATAATCATCTCTTCACAGTATCACACTAAATGTGAAAACTTTGATTCATACATTGTGCACAAACAGTATACAAAGCAAGGTGGTATAAGAATAATAATGGCCAGTCTTCGCGAGCGAAGATCCGGGGAAGGTCTTTACACCTTCCAGCCTGCGCATTGGATTTTTTTTAGGTGAGACACAGTGTGCGCGGAACTGAGCCCACCCTTTAATCCTAAGGTTCATCTGCCGGGGCCAAGCGAGCTTGGACAGTGGCAGCGAGGTCCTTAGGACGTAGATGGGTTGCCTTTTAAGGGCTAACGAGCTCCACCTGCCCGGGAGTGGCCCTGACCAGGAATCGAACCCGGGTCTCGGCGGTGACAGCGCCACGCCCTTACCGCTAGACCACCAGGGGCTCCGGTATAAGAATACAAGTATTCTAAAATGCACAATCATAGTTCTTTTCTGAAGTTAAATAATTCTCCAGACAGAACTATAACAATTGTGAATTGGTGCATAAAGTTGAATATGGCAATATTAAGCACATCAGCGTCCACAAAATATCAAGCTTTACAGTCAGAAGTTACAGATTATATACAACACCAGGCCTACTGACACCTGACAGGATGCATTTTTCTCAGAGGGAAAAGGAGTTTTGCACAGGAGCTAGCTAGTTGGGCTCCTTGATAGAGCTTTAAACTAGATTGGAAGGGGGAAAGGGACAAAACCAGGCTTGCCAGTGATAAGCAATGGGATGGCATGCCAAAATTTGAGGGACTGAGTGCTAGTGACATCCTTCAATCTGCTCCACAAGGTGTTGGCTACAACGAACCACATTTGAAGTACTTCTATAGCAATGTGCAACATGAGGAACAAGCAAGAGGAGCTCAAAACCTTGGTCCAGTCCCTGAGATATGGCATCATGTCCTAGTTTTGGCCAGGACAGGGTTAATTTTTTACAGTAGCTGGGAGGGCCACATGGCTAGATCCTAATGCTATTTGATACCATCTCAAGTCACTTGCAGGTGGCAGGAGTAAGGGACTCACTCTCCTTTCAAGTCAGGGAAAAAGCATGGTGGGTGAAAAGGTCCAGTACTGTTTTACTTTTCATGTAAATTGTTTCTTTGTCTTATACCTTATTGTCATGGTTTAACTGGTTCTTGGAAACCAGGCAAGGAATTTTTTCCCTTTCCCCCCTGGCCACTGCTGCAGAGCCATCAGGTAAGCACTTAAGAGACACAAAAGAACTTAATTGCCAGAACTTAGTCTCCTAGGAAATGGGGCAGATGAGGAGCTACTGTTTACTTTTTTTCTCTCCTCTCCTGGGAAAGGGCGGGGGGAGGAGAGGAGAGTTGGTGTGCTGGGGGTGGCTGGAACACAGGTCAGAGTGGAGGCTGGTGGTTCCTGTTGCTCAGGACCTGCTTGCCAATTGTGGACGCTGCCTGGTTTTTTTTCCTCGTAGGAGAGGAGCTGTTTTTTCCTGGGTTTTTTTCCCTGGCAGTGGTCCTTGTGCACATCAGGGGAGAGAGAGGACTGTGCAGAGCAGATTGACCAGTCGGAGTAAGTGAGAGTTGTCTGTTTTGTTTTTTCCATTGGGAGGATTTTCTTTTTTTGTTGTTGTTCCCCTTTCCCCTCTCCCTCTCCCCTTTCCCGGTGTGTGGGAAGGGAAGGGGGGCCCCAGGTTTTTTTTGTTTTCTCCAACACACCTCAGAGGATGTTCTTCTTCCCCCCCCGGCCACGTGGCGGCGACCAGAGATCCAACAGCGCCACCTGGTGACTGGCACGGGACATTACAAGCTCGGCATCTCCAGTGACCCAATCGCACCCCCTGTTGACTGTGGTTGGAGTTGCACCAAAGGGCACAAAATTGAACTGTTTACTTTTGCCTCTTTATCGGTTGGTTTTTGAAAGGGGATTATTTGTGAGTATAGGAGCATGTTTGGTTGTTTTACTTGTTTCTTTTTTTTGTTTCTGCTAATACACACATACCTATTAATAAAGGGTTGTTATTTTTTCCTTTTCCATCATTTGTTTTCTCTCAATCAGAGCCTCTTAATTTCGGATTTATAATTGCTTAGAGGGAGGAGTTTGGGTCTTTTCTCATAAGTCATCCTCAGCAAAAGACCTGTGTCTCATTTAAACTGGGACACTTATGTTATTAATACTGTTGCTGTTACTGTTAGTTTTTGTATCTCATTGCTGTTTCAAGTAAATTGTTCTTATCTCAACCTGCAGTTGTGTGGTTTGGGAGAGTCTTGGTGGGGGCACTGAACTGGGGAGTACTATTCCTAAACCATGACACATTGTCATAAGCAAACCCTGGTGGGATGAGTCCTGTGACTGGAGTGCCATGTTGGATGGTTACTGTCTCTTTAGGAGAGATAGGCAGGGCAGGCAAGGCAGGGTGTGGCATTGTATGTAATGGAGGGGCTGGTATGTATGGAGCTTGCATTTTTCAATGGCACAGTTGAGAGCCTCTGGGTAAGGATTAAGAGACAAATAATGCAGATGCCATAGTAGGAGTCCAGTATAGAGCACCCAGACAGGACGATGACACCAATCATAGAATCATAGAATGTTAAGGGGTTGGAATAGACCTTAAAGGTCATCTAGTTTCAACCCCCCTGCCATGGGCAGGAACACCTCCCACTAGACCAGGTTGCTCAAGGCCCTATACAACCTGGCCTTGAACACTGCCAGAGTTGTGGCATCCACAACCTCCCTGGGAAACCTGTTCCAGTGTCCCACCATCCTCACAGTGAAGAATTTCTTACTAATATCTGACCTAAATTTCCCCTCTTTCAGTTTGTACCATTTACTACTTGTCTTAGCACTACAGTTCCCGATGAAGAGTCCCTCTCTGGCTTCCTAGTAGGCCCCCTTCAGTTACAGGAAGGTTGCTATGAGATCTCCAAACAACCTTCTCTTCTCCAGGTTGAACAGCCCCAATTTTCCCAGCCTGTCTCTGTAAGGGAGGTGGTCCGGTCCTCTTATCAACTTTGTGGCCCTCCTCTGGACTTGCTCCAATAGTTCCATGTCCTTCTTGTGTTGAGGGCACCAGAACTGCACCCAGTACTTCAGGTGGGGTCTCACAGGGGCAGATTCACATCCTTTCTGGGCTGTGAGTGTACACTGCTGGCTCATGTTGGATTTCTCATCAACCATCAACCTCCAAGTCTTTCTCCACAGGGCTGCTCTCAATCACTTCTCCACCAAACTTGTAGGTGTGCCTGGGATTGCCTTGACCCAGGTGTAGGACCTTACACTTCACTTTCTTGAACTTCATGAGGTTTGAATTGGCCCACCTGTTAGAGTCCAGATTTGTATCTCGCTGAGTTGTTTGAGTGATGGGTTGAATCAACCATCTTGTCTGTCTGTGTGTGTGTCAGGGGAGGGGCCATGGTTGGGCCTGCAGCCTCATGGCAGTAAGGCACATGGCCTGCAGCCAATATGGCTGAGTCTATGGAGCCCACATGGCATGTGAGCCACGTGGCTGGGCTGTCAATCAAGGAAGGCCTGACTGGTAGCCCACCCACACCACAACCCCTGGAGCCTCTGATTGGCTAAAGCACCCCTCACTTCGGCTAGGAGGACACTGAATGGTCAGTGAACAAAATGTCCTGCCTGGAGGGAGTGGCAATGGTAGCCAAACTCTCTGTTAAACAGAGACACACAAGGTCTCCATCTTGCCTGGCTTGCTCTCCTGGAACCTGCCAACATGTGATCTCTTGGTGGTAACTATATTTTTCTTTCCTCTCTTTCTTTCTTTATTCTTTCTTCTCTTAATCTCTCTTTTCTTCCTTTACTCTTTTTTCCTCTTGTGGGTAACTTAAAACCTACTGAGTGGTATTTCACTTAAGTTGTGGGTTGGTGTTTGCTGGGTGCAAAGAATCCACAACGATGCCTGCTGGCTTGTAAAACCCTTGTGGGGGTATAGAGACATGTGGACAATGAGCCGTTGACCACAACTTTTTGTGTGCAGCATCCAGCCAGTTCTTCATCCAGAGTGGTCCATCCATCAAATCCATGTCTCTCCAATTTGGAGACAAGGATATCATACAGGGCAGCGTCAAATGCTTTGCAGAAGTCCAGGCAATGTCAATTGCTTTGCCCCCATCCACCAATGCAGTAGCATTACTTTGTGAGTTAATGAAAAACACCTGAAGGACAACACAGTCAACGGTCACAGCCAGCATGCTTCAAGAGCAGAAAGTCCTGCTTGTCAGATTTAATTTCCTTTTATTACAAGGTAATCAACTTAGTTAACTCAGGGAAGACAGTTTGGGATTTCAGTAAGGCTTTCGATACTCTCTCACAGGATCCTTCTGGACAAAATGTTCAGCACACAGCTGGATAAACAGGTCATGTGATGGGTGAGCAACTGGCTCACAGGTTGGGCACAAAGAGTAATAGTGAATGAGGTAACATCAGGCTGGCAAGCAGTCACTAGTGGGGTTCCATAGGGTTCCATCTTAGGCCCATTTCTCTTCAAAATCTTCATAAATAACTTGGACGCAGGACTCAAAGGGATGCTAAGAACTTTGCAGACGATACAAAGCTGGGGGGGAGCTGTTGACTCCCTCGATGGCAGGGAGGTCCTGCAGAGAGACCTTGACAAATGAGAGGGCTGCGCAATCACCAACCTTATGGAGTTTCACAAAGACTCTGCACCTGGGACAGGACAACCCTGGATGTATGTACAGACTGGGGAATGAGAGGCTGAAGAGCAATGCTGCAGAAAGGGACCTGAAGGTCCCCATCAATGGCAAGTTGAATATGAGTCAGCAGTGTGCCCTGGCAGCCAGGAGGGCCAAGCGTGTCCTGGGGTGCATCAGGCAAAGCATCGCCAACCAGTCAAGGGAAGTGATTGTCCTGCACTGGTGCAGCCTCATGGCGAGTACTGTGTGCAGTTTTGGGTGCCACAATATATTAGCTATTAGAGAACATCCAAAGCAGGGCAACAAAGATGACGAAGGACCCAGAGGGGAAGCTGTATGAGGAATAGCTCATTCAGCCTCCTCATGAGGGGAAGCGAAGGGGCAGGCACCGATCTCTTCTCTCTGGTGACCAGTGATAGGATCCAAGGGAATTGCATGAAGCTGTGTCAGGGGAGGTTTAAGTTGGATATTGGGAAAAAGGCTCTTTTCCCAGAGGGTGGTCGGGCACTGGAAAAGGCTCCTCAGAGAAGTGGTCACAGCACCAAGCCTACCAGAGTTCAATAAGCATTTGGACAATGCTCTCAGACACATGGTGGGATTCCTGGGGTGGTCATGTGCAGGGCCAGGAGTTGGACTCAATGATCCTTATGGGTCCCTTCAAACTCAGCATATTCTATGATTGTATAACATTTTTTATTCAATGCAAAGGTCATATAGTATGTGGTTATGAATGTATTATAGACAACAGGTTAGCAAAGGCATACAGAGCTTTCGGTAAACTCCATAAAAGAGTGTGGCAAAACAAAAAGCTGAAGAAAAGTACAAACATCAGCATTTACAGAGCCATTGGACTGTCTACTCTTTTATATGGGTCTGAATCATGGGTCATTTTTTGCCACCACTTGCGTCTCTTAGAACGCTTCCATCAGCGCTGCCTCCATACAATCCTAAACATCCACTGGACGGATTATGTGACCAACACATCTGTCCTTGAACAGGCAGCAGTCACGAGCATTGAGGCCATGCTGCTGAGAACACAGCTGCGTTGGGCAGGGCACGTCTCCAGGATGCAGGACTACCGCCTGCCTAAGATTGTGCTCTTTGGGGAACTTGCCACTGGCTGCCACAAGAGAGGAGCCCCGAAGAGGAGATACAAGGACTCCCTAAAACAATCCCTCAGCCTTGGCCATATTGATCATCACCATTGGTCTACCCTGGCCTCCAATCGGGAGGCCTGGAGACACAACATCTATAACACTGCTGCCTCTTTTGAGAACACACGCAGGGTCACTCTCGAGGAGAAAAGACAACGCAGAAAGAATCGCGTCTTGTTGATATCACCAAGGGAGTCTTTCTGCTGTGCCTTTTGCAACCGGACTTGTCTATCTCGCATTGGCCTTTTTAGCCATCAGCATGCTTGTAGCAAGCGTGGGTAGAGCCCTTCTTAAATCTTCATTCGCGAAGCCCAGCCATGATGATGATGAATGTATTTGACTTCTCATGGCTAAAGTGTCTTAACAAATTTGCTTTCCTATCCTAGGTAAATATGCCTGGCTTAGACCACGTCCATCATCTTCTAATACATAAGACATAAGGGAGCCTGTAACTTTAGTATGATGGCTTGAGGATTATAATAATCATTTTACTTATTAAACCTAAACAGGCACTTTGTTACACCTACATTTCCAACCTTATCTTGAGAAACTACTGTGTGTAGAGAAAGATAGTGGTTCCAACATATCTGAAAAATTTTAGCCTAGTGAATTAAATATGTTTCATATAATGTAAACAGTGAGGAAGACTTGTTATACAGCTCTGTTTAGCAAGGAAGATTTGTGTGCTTACCTCTAGATATGGGACGGCAGCTAAAGTGCATAAGGTTAAACTCCATAATAAGCTGCAAGGCGCTCTTTTAAGGGAAGAGGAAACTGGTCAGAGAAACGCCTCCAATTCTCATCCCCAACTTGATTTTTAAATCCATGAAGAATCTACAAATGAGAGGAGGGAGAGAAATCAAGATAATCATTAAACAGCAGATACATGATCATTATTTACTAGCAGCATATGCAGTAAGCCACAAACTGCTGGATTGTGCATCTGTCCGTTTGAATTCCTCAGTTTAATACTTAAATGTTACTAAGGAAAAAAGGAAGTCCAGGGAACTTCCTAGCCTGATTCGGCCTTTGAATTAATACCCATTGCTGGTCCTCCATGTGCATGGTGATGAAGTCTCAACGCAGAGTCCAAGGGTGATCAAAAGGGACTCAAGGCCTTGGGATGGTTGATGAGGGAAGCAGGAGTACATGTAATTTTTTCCTCTGTTCTTCCAGTTGCAGGCAGAGACATTGAAAGAAACAGATGCACCCAGTCTATTAATACATGGCTCCATGGCTGGTGTCACCACCAAAATTTTGGTTTCTTTGACAGTGGGATGGCCTACATGGCACCAGGCCTGCTGGCATCAGATAGGATTCACCTCTCAAAGGGGAAGAGGATCTTTGACCAGGAGCTAGCAGGGCTTATTGATAGGGATTTAAACTGGATGTGGTGGGGGAGGGGGATATCATCACGTTTAATGGTGATAAGGTAAGGGATGATATGCCATCCCACTCATACCAGTTAGATGCTAGAGCAAGCAAGAGATGCCCAGAGCCTAGAGGGGGATCAAAGGTCAGCCGGACAGAACCTGACAGGGCATCACCAAGGAATTCCAGCCACTCCAGACAGAAAGTCAGCTTCATTGGGGGCCCAACTTTAATGCCTCTATGCAAACATACATAGCATGGGGAAAAAACAGGAGAAACTAGAGATATGTGCAAACCTGCAGGGCTATGATCTTATTGGCATCACAGAGATGTGGTGGGATGATTCTTATGACTGGAGTGCCGGAATGGAAGGATACAGGATTTTTAGGAAGGACAGGCAGGGTAGATGAGGAGGGGGTGTTGCCCTCTATGTCAATGACCAGCTGGACTGCATGGAGATCCATCTGGGGATGGATGAGGAGCTGACTGAGAGCTTGTGGGTAAAGATTAAAGGGAGGGCAGGGACAGATGACATTATAGTGTGAGTCTGCTACAGGCCATTCAACCAGGAAGACCAAGCGGATGAGGCCCTTTATAGATAGATAGGAGTAGCCTCAAGTTGACAAGCTCTGATCCTCATGGATGACTTCAACCACCCCAACATCTGTTGGAGGGACAACACAACAGGGCACAGGCAATCCAAGAGATTCTTGGAATGTGTTGATGACAACTTCTTCCTCCCAGTGATAGAGGAGCCCATGAGGAGAGGTGCTATGCTGGACCTTATTCTCACCAACAAGGAGGGACTGGTGGGGAACATGAAGCTCTTGAGCAGCCTGGGCTGCAGTGACCATGAAGCTCTGAAATTCAAGATCCTTGGGACAGTGAGGAGGGCGCAAAACAAACTCACTACCCTGGACTTCAGGAGAGCTGACTTTGGCCTCTTCAGGGATCTGCTTGGTAGAGTGCAGTGGGATAGAGCCCTGGATGGAAAAGGGGCCCAAGAGAGCTGGATGATATTCAAGGATAGTCTCCTCCAGACTCAAAGGCAATTCATTGCTACAAAGAGGAAATCAGGGAAGAACACTTGTGTGGATGAAAGAGAAGCTCCTGGACAAACTTAAACACAAACAGGTAGCTTACAGAGGGTGGAAGCAGGGAAAGGTAGCCTGGGAGGAATACAGAGAGATTGTCTGAGCAGACAGGGATCAGATTAGGATAGCTAAAGCCCTGAAACCAGGCCAAAGACATCAAGGGTAACAAAACAAGCTTCTTTAGGTACATCAGAGATAAAAGAAAAACTGTGGAAAATGTGGGTCCTCTCAGAAAGGATACAGACCTGGTTACCCAGGACATGGAGAAGGCTGAGGTACTCAATTACTTTTTTGCCTCAATCTTAACCATCAAAAATTCCAGCCACATTGCCCAAGTTGCAAAAGGTAAAAGCAGGGATTGAGACTGAGTTCAAGACCATTTAAGGGAACCTGAAGGTGCACAAGTCCATCGGACCTGACAAGATACATCCATGGGTCCTGAGGGAATTAGCAGAGGAAGTGGCTAAGCCATTGCCCATCGTATTTGAGAAGTCATGGCAGTCCAGTGACGTTTCCAATGTCTGGAAAAGGGGAAACATAAACCCCATTTTTAAAAAGGGGAATAAGGAAGACCCAGGGAACTACAGGCCGCTCAGTCTCACCTTGGCGCCAGGCAGGATCATGGAGCAGATCCTTCTGGAAACTATGCTAAGCCACGTGGAAAAAAAGGAGGTGATTGGGGACAGCCACCACGGCTTCACTAAAGACAAATCATGCCTCACAAATTTGGTGGCCTTATATAATAAGGTTACAGTAATGGTGGATGACATTAGATAGCAGGAAGAAATTCTTTATTATGAGGGTTGGGAGACACTGGAACAGGTTGCCAGAGAAGTTGTGGATGCCCCATCCCTGGAAGTGTTCAAGGCCAGGTTGGACAAGGCTTTGAGCAACCTGGTCTAGAGGAAGGTGTCCCTGTCCATGGCAGTGGGGTTGGAACTACATGATCTTTAAGGTCACTTCTATAAGTGCAAGGTCCTGCACCTGGGTCAGGGCAATCCAAAGCACAAGTACAGGCTGGGCAGAGAATGGATCCAGACTAGCACTGGGGAGGACATGGGGGTGTTTGTGGATGAAAAGCTTGACATGACACAGCAATGTGTGCTTGAAGTCCAGAAAGTCAACTGCATCCTGGGCTGCATCCAAAGAGGCATGGCCAGCAGGTCAAGGGAGGGGATTCTCCCCCTCTACTCCACTCTACTGAGATTCTGTGATTCTTTGATTTTAATGTCTTTCTTAAAGGAAAAAAAACAAAAGCATTTCAGTTAACAGTGACATATACAATATAGTTACCCATACAGATTAGCATAAAAATATAAATATATCTTCTATATAAATATACACTTGTGTATGTAGTTTTGATGACTATGGTGACAACCTAGAGTTAGGCCAATCATTTTGTCAATTGACACAGTTTATATGTTAAGATTACTGTGTTCACGTTTATTTTTTTAAATATGTAATATATTCTGGGAGGAAAGCTGAGCCAGAACCACTGCCAGCATTTGACAGAATGAATGCCTATAAATTTCTTGCAAAAAAAAAAGTATCCTGGGAGAGCTGTGTTTTTTCCATGGAACCTGTAGACAACTATTACTAAAAAGGAAGCTATTAAAATCTTTTGTGTTTTGAAAGAACAGAGATCCACAGCATAAGATGGGAAGAGGGAAAAAAAATAATCGAATCTATAGGTTTCAGCCTGGACCCTCCAATGTAATAAATTAACTGAAAGCTACCAAAACTGAATGATACTGTCAAAAACATCTTAGTATTTTAGCTTGAAAATAGCAGGTTAAAGGGCAAACAAACAAAAGAATAAAACCAGATTAAATGGCTCCTCCTAATAGAAAATAGTCTAGAGTCTCTAAAGTTTTGGGTTGTTTTTCTTTTTTAAACTCAAGGGTACTTAATTGTGGAACAGTCTGTCATGAAAACATCCTCACAGAAAAGGCAATGTCAAAATTAAAGCTCATGGTACTGAGTTCACCCTAAACACAATTTTCTAAGCAGAGTTGTTCTTAAACAGCATGAAGCAATAATAACATTACAGTGTCATAAGTTTATTTATTGCTTTTCTTCCTGAAAGGGACCTTCCACAGGCAGATTCACCTCTTTTCTAAGCAAAAGTCTGATTGTCCAGCTGCCAAGAAACTACCAAAAAAATCTAAGAATGTTCAGGTACAAAAAAAGGAACACTTTAAAAAAATTATCTTACAGGACTGTCATGGGTTTACTGACCACCTCTGCCACTGGGGCTGAAAATAGTTTGCTCCAGGTGGATTTCTGGAGAAAAAGTCAATCAAAAGTTTTACTAGCGCCTCTGCCAATTACATATTTAAGAAAACGGAAGAGAAGGTGGTTGTGCAGATGAAATTGTAGCCATATAGGAGAGGCGGCAGGCCCCACGTGGGCCAGGGCCCCCTCCTCCCCCGGCCCTGGGCCACGGGCAGGTGTGGCACTGAAGCCCCCCTTCTCTCCTGTAACAGAGTAGAGAAAAAAAAACTTTAGAGAAGAACCTGGACAAGACATGCTGCAAAAGGAATCCCAGAGAGAAAGAGAGCACAGCCTCCAAGGTCAAAGCTGGCAACCGGAGGAGAGAGAAGAGTAGCTCGAAGGGGGGGCTGCTTTTCCCCCCTCTCTTGCTCTCTCTCCCTTCAGCAGGGAAAAGACTGAAAACTAAAATCCCTGCCACCTGTGGAAGATTACTGGGGTGAGGAGACTCCCTTGCAGCTCATAGAGGAGCTTACACTGAAGTAAGTGGATGCACAAGGAAGCTCATGGAGAGAGACCTACACTGGAGCAGAACGGCTCGGGTAAGATGTTGGGATCCGAGTGAAGAATCCATACTAGTGCAGCTGAATTTGTGACCCTGAGGGACAGCAGAGAATGGAAGACCTGTTGCCTGACGGATGGACCCACGTCGGAGAGGTCTATCAAAGACTGTTCTCCTGTGGGAAGGGACCCCACAGGAAACGGAGTGGACTCAAAAGCCATTATGTTTTGTGATCCTGTGGTGAAGATCCATGGTAAACAAGTGTCCCCTTGCAGTACATGGAAGACCCTATAGGGCCTGAGTAACCCCCCAGCCTTCGGTCTTAGCCCAGGAGGGGAGTAGGCCCAGCCCTGAGGCCGACATAGAAGAGAGAGAGAAAGAGAAACAGTTCCAGCTGCAACACATCGGAGTTGTCATCCTAGAGATAACAGAAGAACTTTCGAGTGCTGCAAAATTATTTAAAAGACCTGGAGCTCCGGAAAGAGAGAAAGAGACTGCTTCTCCTCCAGAACTGATACAAGGGGGAAGGGGTATTTCTGTAAATATATAGTATTTTTGCCTAATTGGAATTGTTGTAGATATAGTTCTTTATTTTTTATCTTGCTAGTAATAAATCTTAATATTATTCTCCCCAATCAGGTCTCTTTTATCTGCATAAACCTTCTTAACTTATAGCAATTGTGTGGGGGGTGAGAGAAAATTGGCCTAGAGCAAACCCATGACAAGGACAGTTTTAGCAAGTGAGCTTAAGCTACAGTCTTCAGATATCTTGCTTTTATAAATCTTGATACAGTTCTTTGGGTATGTATCGGATCTCAACACTGGCAGCTCATGTGCCTGTGCTCTTGGAAGGGGTATTTTCTCTCTTAGCTCTAGTGCTCCAAAACCAACCAACCAACCAACCAACCAACCAACCCAACCACCCCAAAAACCAAACAATGGACAATCCACTAGCAAGAAAAAGGCCTAGTGGGACTACAAATTTTTTTTCCCATTATTTCTAAAAGGCATAATTATTGTTGGAAAATATGTAAGTGGACTACAGTAATCACATATTCAACTAGCATAAAAACTCACTCCAATAAGGAAGTAATCTAAAAAATTTGTATGTCATCACTTGGAGAAAGCTTTGTCTCTGTCCTTGCATGGCAAAAAGCACAAAAAATACACTTAAGAAAGCAAGGATGTCCTGTGCTAAGTAACCAAGAAACAGTGTCTAGTTAGAATGCATTAGATCCCACGTGGATATCCTGGAAAGAATCTGAAAAAGAGGAGCATAGCTTATTGAAGAAAGTATTGAATGCTGAAGGACCAGGACAGAAACATGTAGTGGAACTGCTTTAGACAACCACCACAGACAGCATCCTGGACTTTCTTTTAAGCTTGTATTTCTTGTTTTCTTCTACTGATGCCAGAATACTCACAGTCATGCATTTCCTGACACTGATGTTCCTTCAAAGCCTCTCAGATAATTGTTCGCCTAACTAGGACAGGGAGATTTTTGTCTTTGCTCCTCAAGACAGAATTCAAATGTTCTAGTCCATTCTGATGTATGCACCTGGAATTACTTGAAGAGGAAGTGCCAATACTGACCCCTGATCCATGTATGTATTTAGAAATATGCTCCACTTTAGCTTTAAGAGCACCGTTAACTTTTGACATACATCCTTCCTAAAACCAAAGATTTCATTTTACAACATATGAGGAGAGCCACACTACTGAACAGTAACAGCTGTAACTGAAATAAGTTTATTTTATTCTGGTTTTTAACTGAAGACACTAGTACCAAAACACAATATATTACTTTCTCTGTGTGTGGTTTTTAATTTTACACAAGACAAACAGTCTTTTGGTTTAAATTATATTGACACTTTGTCTAGGGATGCGTTCTTGGCTATCACTGTTTACTAGTTTCTTGAAGACCTGCTTATCCAAGAGGAATTCTGAGGAGGGTTAAGCAGTCCCAAAAATTTATTTTCGGCTAAAGCAAGATAAATAGATCAGGATACCACTGGAAGATTTTTCATTTTCATTTTTCTAGATATTTCTAAAAAAAAATATGCGTCTTGGGGTGGGGGGCAGGTCTTAAACCACACATATCTCATTTTCTAGAAAAGGAAAAGAAATGAAAAAAAAAAGTCTTCTATGTGGTATAAACCCCCCTGTTCTTCCAAATGCAGTCAAAATGTAGGAGGCTGGACATTATTAAAAGCTCTTTGAGGATGAATATCCTGTCAAATAAAATATCAAGTGAGCTTTTCAATGCTTTTAAAAAGAAATTTGGAATAGCCTGAAAGCATGTAAGAAAATATAAGTAAAACACTTTTATTATTTTTATGATGTCTTGTTTGAAAGTTTATGACTATGCAAGAAAGCATTCATGACCACAAATACAGAAAGTGGTAATAATGGAAATAAACACAAGAAAGAAACAAAGGATCCAAAGCAACCACAGTTCAGATATACTAGAAACATTACCTTACAGAACATGTCTCGGAGATCATCTTTTGGGTTAATCCATGATGCAACAGCATCACAAAAAAAAATAAAGTCCTATAAGATTAAACAAGCACATAGGTTAGAAATTTTAAATTTATAGGTCTGAAAACAATGCTCAATGTTCATTCTATGAAATATGTAGGGTATTTGATCCTAATGCAAAACTGCATCTGGTTTTACGTCTTTATTTTCCAGTTAATTCAGACAATAACGGTAAGTTATTGTATGCTTAAGTGTATGGAAACAAAGATAGCTGAGTGTCGGAATACCTTTGTTTAATCAGATTTTTTATTAAATTGTACCACAGTTAAAAAAAAAACAACAAACAACTCCTCCCCTCCCACACCACACTTGTTTAACTAATTCTTTCAGTACACATTCTGAGTTTGACATCCAATCACCTTAATAACAATCGACAAACTCAGAACCATACTTGCAACTTACTCTCATGTACTTTCAGTTAGGAAAAAAAGCTGTTGTATTTCTTTAAGCAAAACCAGAAGTTGTTTCTGGAATACAGAGAATGTTTATCATACGGGTTCAAAACTAAAACCACCCCAAAATTGTTATGTTTAGTTCATCTGCTCTTATACATTACCTCCTACTATACCATTAAAACATCAGTCTTAATGATGAAGTTGATTATGCACGTTTTTGGATAGGAACTGAGGATCACAACTACATAGGAGGAGAGCTGGGATAATGAAAAGAGACCTTAATTACTCCCTCCCTTTAAGCTGTGTGAAAGAACAGACAGCAGAAGAAGGAAATGCTAAGTACAAAATAAGGGATAAGTGAAATGAACTGTAAAATTCAAAACAAAATAGAGGTTCAATTCTTGTGTTTCAGGGAGAAGGATTCCAGACAGAGGAGAGGGAAATTCACTTTCATTTTCCTCTTAGAAAATATTACCTTTGTATAGCTTTACTTTGGAGCTGCAGGGACTAAAGAGCAAATCATATTTTATTCTTGAGATGTACCTTTTATTTTTAAGAGATGCATTATCCTTGTCATATTGACCATTTAAGCAATATATCCAAAGTTGAAAGAGAATCTTCCCTACCCAAGTTTTAAGAATGAAGGGGTGGTTATTGTTTTTGTTCAGTTTCTTTTTTAAAAGCCTAGATTGTATCTGAAAAATACGGTTTAGCGTATCAACTTTTGCCTTGTATCCTCAACATTAAAAAGACTGATAGAAGTATCAAAATACAGTTAATCAAAGTTCATTATTTACATATTCCTTGTAAGTAAAAGACAAAAAATGAATTTAACAATACTGTCTTTTTCTTTCCATAAGTAATAACTACTGAAGCAGAAATTCTGAAGTATCATGATAATTTGATATATAAACATTCCAGTCTCAATGTCTAAAAAGTAGTTACAGCACATATTACAGGGAAGCAATATCAAGCTGAATTTTTTCATACTCCATATACAGCTTTCACTAAATTTCACATGAGTAAAGAAAAAGGAAGTTAAGATCGATTTATGTATCTTACTTGGACTACTCCACTGGGGTTGACTGAGATCATGGTACATATCCCACGGAATGCTGAATCTTTTTCCTCATTGTCTCTTATGTTTCGCAGAGAGGTGCACCTAGCAAGTTGGAGAGCAAAACTTAGCTAATTCTATTACTTTTTCATTCAGTCAAGTCAGGACTAGATTACAGCATTTAATGGAATAAGTCACACTGATAAGATTATATGAAAACTCTTTTGAACACTTAGAAAGATACTTGTTACACACAGTCTTTACTAGTATATTCCCATTAGGTATCATCTACAGAATCTTGCTTTTCTGTTGCACTATATACAAAGTGTGACCTGTATTCTATTAAAAACAAAAGAAATATGTATATAAAATATTTTTAGAAACTATCATTATTAGAATTGAACATTTCATGAGATACCACTTAAAGAACAGTTATTTAACCTTTACAGCAGCAAGCAAGATATTTTATACATAACAAGTCTAGAAACATATTCCTTACAGCAATTCAAGCCTCAGACTGAATTTTAAGTAATGCACAGTTTAAATTTTACAGTATTTTCATGCATTGTATTATCATTCTCATGGATTTTAAAATGCTTTTTCATAGTCAAGCTTTAACACGCAAGCATGTGACAATCTTATCCCATGCCTAAATTAGTTGTTAGCCACAACATAAAGAATGCATGACAGTGCTACTAAAAACTCACAAACCTGATAGGACAAGATTAGTCACATGGTTGGCAATGATTAAGGATTGAGATTTTGTAACCAACTGAAAATATATCCAAAACTGAGATAGAAGAAAAAGAAAGGGAAGAAAGGGAGGGAGGGAGGAGGAGGGAGGGAGGGAGGGAGGGAGGAAGGAAGGAAGGAAGGAAGGAAGGAAGGAAGGAAGGAAGGAAGGAAAAGAAAAAGAAAAAGAAAAAGAAAAATGAATTAAAAAAAAATTGAATAATACACACCAGGGTCTTATAAACTGCTGTAGCATGGGGGCCACCTCTTGAGGACAAACGAAACCAAGACGACCAATTGTTATTGCTAAGGTAATGCAATCACGGTTATACACCACCAAACGCCAACCAAGACATGAGCAAATGAGGGGGGAGGAGAAAAAATAAAGAAAAAAACAACAAATAACTTAGAAACAGAAGCAAACAGAATCTGTATATGATAGTAAACATAAGATTTCACCAGTGCTGTCAATTACCACCCCTTGAATAAGAGGCAGCAACATACATGGTATACTCTCCAGGGTAAAAGAAAAATTAAAGAAGTAAATGAGAGAACACCAAAAAACACAATTTAAAATGCAAAGGCTTTCTGATGTAAGCAGTCATTCTGCCCTCTTCAGAATCATCTCTTACAGTAAATTTACCTACTATGTCCTTCAAAGCTTTTAATAAAAAGTATTATTATGAATACTATTGACAGAAAGGAATTAACTATTTTCAGCTTTAGTATCAAGTAGAGCTAAATATTTTATTTTTTCAATATTTAGAATTCAAGATTTTAATAGGCCTACTATCTATCAGTAAAAATATATTTATAAACACTTTTACATTGAATACATTGTGGTCTATCTAATAAACACTAAATAGATTAAACACTCTCAAAAAGCCTCAAATATTTTCTTTCTTCATAATCTTGTTGAGAAATTAAAGGGGTTACTAGCTCACAGCAACTGACTGGAGAAAATTAATTTTTTAATCCCAATATTTCTCCTGTTCAGAAAAACTTCCTCATAAAACTTCTATAAGAATCTGACTTCTGATACAAAGGCATAAGGACGTATGAGAAGCAAAACTGCTTCTCTGAATGATTAGGTAGTGTGGTCCTTGGTTCTGAGGGCCAGACTGAAGAAAATATCATCATGCGTTTTAATGGTGTTTACTCAACTCACAAAAGATTAATCTTTAGAAAAAGAGAAGGTAGGAAATAATGTATCAGGATTACTTGAAGCAAAATACATGAATAATACTAAAATCCATCAGATTTATAAGAAGCAGAGAAAGGAAATCTGTGTTTAAGGGACATACTATGCAACACTAATTAACAAGCATTTGTGAACAGTTTCATGAAACATGCAATAAAGCAGATGATACTTTCTCCAATAAAAGTTTAGTTTAGGATACACTAGCAGTTTAAAATGTACCCATTCCATGAAAACTGCACCTTAGTGGTAATGTACTATTTTGCCCAGACATTACTTGATTTCAATATGCAGTGTCAAATTTTTGGCTGATCCAACATAAAACTGCATTTGAAGTGATACTTTCAAATGAAAATGCATTTTTAAGGTTTATCTGTAAATTCTCACAGGTAGAGTCTGTACAAGGAATAGTAATTTCTGTCAAAGCTTAACTTTTTGGCATGTACTCATTATTTTCTATGAAACTACTTTTAATTAAGCTGATCTCATATGTTTCCATAAGAGAAGTGTTTTCATAGCTCATTACATAACAACCTACAGCAGAAAACAGTAATACCCTTCCATGTACCAATGGCATACAGCACAATATTCCACAACAAACTTAAAAGTACACCACACTCACAATTTATTTGTAGTTATGCATCTGCATTTAAAGTAACTATTAAGATACTAAAAAAAAAATAATGTTTGGATACTTCAAAAAATTCTCTAGCAGTGATGGAAGTAAACTTTTAAGTACTGGATGTTTCTCAGCTACAGATATTACAAATCCATCAGTGCAGACAAAGAGGGTTGAGGCGGGGGAAAGAAAATTAATTTTGCTATACTATTCCATGGTGCATTTCATAACAAGTAATTAGTGTGAAAAATATCTTTTAAAAAAGCAGCATCTATAATATGCCAGAAAACTAGGCAATTTATCCTTCAAGTTCACATTCCATAGTAAATAAGGGGATGGGGTGTAGAGAATACTGGAGTAAAAATACACATAGAAAGACATTCCAATTTATCTCATACTTAGCTCAAGCCCAAATGTAACTAGCAGTGAATTTGCATCATTTTCAATTATGTCCAGTATAATGACTAAACTATTATTTTTTCTTACAAGGTAGTTTTCAAACAGAAAAAAAGTCAAAATATTCTCAATCACTAAAATAGTAAACCAGAAACCTGTTAAATTATTAATAAAGTTTTGCTGAAGTATAGAAGGTGCTCTTCATACCAGAACATGCCCTCTATAAATGCAAAAGAACAAGTCTCAGAAATTCCACTTCAATAAGGCATTTGGGGACTGCTCCCAATTTGGAAGGCAAAGCAACTGGCCAGAACATAGAAATGTACATGCCACTGTTAAGACTTCTTTTCAGAAATTTGTTTTTAAGTGATCAGGTAATAAAATTATACAGAATTTCAGTTATGTTGTGGTTAAAACTGCCATCACAGATCTATATTTTTGTGCATATTACTATAAATTATTATTTTTTGAAAAGCGCATTACTGCAAATCCAAAGAGTTAATTATTTGTTATATATATGCCAATTGCATTTGTTTCAAACACTAGACATACATACAGTTTGCATGTGTAAGGACAAGCATATATTAAAATCAGTGTAAAGCCACTAGGTCTTTAAGTGTTACTGCATACATTTGTCATATTGTATCCATAAATAAAATTGGAAGAATACTTAAATAGATGATAAATAAATATAAAATGTTATAAAGGTAAAAAGCAATAACTTTAATAATCTAGATATATGACATGTTTTTCTGCAAGACGGAGACTTGTAAGAACTTCTGCAAAACATTTGTTTTTGCTTATAAAAGCCAAATACATAGCAATTAAATAAGTTCTATTTGAGTTTTTAAAATCATTATAGAAAAAAACCCCTCTAATTCCCTTCACCATAAATGGTTCAATTTTTGGATACCTGTGTTCTCTAACAATGTCTTTGGTGTGTTGGGTCTGTTAATTATTTCTGCAAGCTGGTGCAACACCATTGGAATATAAGGCTGCATCTCTATACCTGAAACAGCCAAAAAGAAACATTGAGAAGAAAATGACCATTAATATACACAATCTATTTAGATCTGGTACCTTGAACTTACTGTCAAGGACAAGAATGTAAAACTTAAATTTTTTTGCATGAAAGCATCACTAAAAATAATAATAAAAACCCCAACCCTGACAAACCATTCTAAATATGCAAATATTCAAAGAAAAAAAGAATCTTACCCATCTGGATGGAGATTTCTCCAATTGCCCAGGTGGCATTGTTACACACAGAAATGAATTCAGGGTTTAGATTTGTTCCCAAAATGGGCATGAAATCAGCTAGAAAGAACAACATTTTAAAATCTCATCACACAATACAACCATCTTGTTCCTTTATTGTAAGATCACAAGCAAGTTTTTTTAAAATCATGTAAGCATATTTAAATTGTCGTAAAGCATTACACCTGAATTAATAAGAGCTGTATTTTTGATAGATATCAGATTAACCTGGATGATAGAACCTCAGCAGATCAATGCAAATCTTTGCAAACTATGATTTAAAAATATGTCTAATAGATTTTACATTTATGTAACTCTAAAACCCTTTTTTATTCCCTTCCCAGGAGTGGGGAAAAAAAGCACACCTGGATAGCTATGTATTTAACTGTGCTAAAAAATAAGAAAAAAAAGAATGACCAACCCCCCCCCAAAACAAACACCCCCTTTAACAAAAACAAAAAAACCACCAAATACAACACCAATCCCCCCCCCAAAAAAAAAAAAAACAACAGCCAACAAAAATGAAGCCTAGAAAGAAAATCACAGTCTTGATTAAGATTTATTTGGCAGATGTTATAATCTGTCTTTGTGACTAATATTTCACTAAAATTCAAATTCCAAGCGTATCCAAGCATTCATGGATTATAGTAGAACAAAAAAACCCCACAAATTCTAGAATTTACTAAAGAAAGCAACTGTTACAATTGCAGTCAAAGTACATCTGTTTTGCCATATTCCAACAAAACAGGAAGCATGTTACATTATAAAAATCAAGCAGCAAAATGAACTTTTGCTACAGACCCTTGCTAATAAAAGAAAATGAAAACTTACAACACCATTACAGGGCATGCCACAAAAAAGGGAACTTAACAATGGCTAAATCAGCCTCTTATCAGTTTGTAAAACAAGTTAAGTATTTAATATGTAAAAGAAACATACCTATGCAAGGCTTAACATGCTGAAAACACGCCTTTGTCAGATCACCTAACAACGCAAAAGAACTCTGCCGTACCTCAGGCATTTTATCCTAAAGAGAGGAAGAAAAAAACCTGACAATTCTAGAAGTGTTTCTGATTCTTTTAAGAAAAAAAATTCTTGAATTAAACAGGTTTCTCATCTCACCTGCATGCATTGGTACATTAGCGTCAGGATATTGCTGCAAGCCACTAGCTGTTCAATGTTGCCTCCAAGTCCTTCAGCTAAACCACTCAGTAAATCAAGAGCCACAATCATGAAATCTTTATCTGGAGCCTCATATTGGTCTGGCTGAGCATTGTGCAGCTGCAACAAATAATTATGCTTTTTCAAAATAAGTATTAGATTTTCTCAGCATTATGCATAAAAGTAAAAACAAACAGTTTCAGAACTGCAGCTTCATTTAAATATTCAACAGTTAATACTACTAATCTCCCTACAAACCCCTAACTTTACATAGTTAATACATTGGTTTAAGGAGATATTCTGAAAACACTGGAATAGCAATAGAAAAATACCATGGCTTGTGCAAGAGTCTTCTGCACCAGATTTACACAACGCTGGTACACAGGCTCACAATACGGAAGAAAGCCAGATTGCAAGGCAGTAGCAACTGACGACAGGCACTGGAATAAAATAAAGAAGAAGAAAAAAAAAGCAGGAGAGACACTAACTTACCTCCCCCAAGTACCTTTTACTTGTGTGAGGTAAATTAAAAGCCTTTAAGTATACCCACAAGTAACTAAGTAAAACCAACCTGGAAAGGTAGTACCAATTAGCTGAGACAAGGTAACTGTTAGCTAATTGTTACTCTCTCCCTATGTATGTCAATTGAGAAAATTTCTCAGGAGCAGAATCTTCTTTGAGGTGGCCAAGACAGTTCATATGAAGACTACTATAATTCAGCTAGCACTTACACTAAACTTCAGTATCCTGGCAATGTATAAGCCCTAACATTATCCAAGAATTATGAAACTAATTTATCTAGACATGTTTTCCTGCTTCACACTTGGAAAGTACAGAGAATAAACTACATTGTCTGGTTCATAACTTCAGCCTGTCGATAATTGTTTTAATGGAGGGACAAAGAGAGAGCAAGGAGAAAAAGACAAGAACAACAGGGATGGAACAACTTTTTTAAAAAACAAATAATCCCAAAGAAAACAATCAAGAATGGCAGGAAAAAAATAAATCTTAAATATTTCTGCTAAACTTAATGACATTTCCTCAGTCACAAAATTTTCTCATTTATTGTTGTAATATTTTTTCCATAATGGGAAATACCTAACAGCTTTCATAGTCACACTTCCTAGTAGGAGCATCCTTAGTAAAAGGGGTAGTTCCCAAAAAAAGTTGTTAAAACTCATTCAAATTTTAATATTTACCTCTAATAAAGGGAAGAGATCTTTATCTTCATCCTTCAACATGTTCCACTTCTGGATTAATGGAGGCATTAGCATCTGAATATATTCCTGTTTAAGATGAAAATGCATCAGCTACTGAAACAATGGCATACTAGTTTATTTCAAAACTAGAAAATTGATATATTCTACTTTTTCAGCCAAAGGAAATTGATATACTGTAATCATTGTTGCAATATGTAGAAGTAGTTTAATACTAGAACTTTATGTTTTAAGATTTTTTGCTGAAGCACATAAATACCTTTGCAGAACAAATCTTTTCCTCCAGCGTTGCCTTCAGTCTAGCAACTTTTAATAGCTGCCTGGGTTGTTACAAATCTAAAGGATTGACTCAGGGGCTACAGAAAACATTTTTACGAGCAATACAATTTGGCTGTGCATCTACCACCTGCTTTTCTCAATCATCTTCCATTGCCTTGATGACACAACCCTATCCCCCCAAGTTCCTGAAACCTCTTCCTCAATCAACTATCCATCCATAAAGAAAGCAATTTTCTATCCCTCCAGAAGGGCATGTTTAGTAATTCTGTACAAAATGTTTCATTTTCCCTACCGCTGCTGTCACAGTCACAAGGACATTGAACAAGGCATCCCTGTAGTACTGTTGCTTCCAGAAAGTATCCAAAGAGACGACAGAGCCACCAAACACACAGTCATTTATTCAAAATGGGGAATATTTGTGTAGTGGGAAAATTACATACAGTCTGTGTATTTTACATGTAAATATTTATTATTATTGAAGCCAGAATTTATGTTTTATAACATATAAAGCACACTACAAACCCCACCAAACCACTTTTTAAATATATGATGAGTGTTTCTACAGAACATAAGGTATACTCACTGGTTTATTTAGATGATGTCCTACAGAATCTGCTAGAGTTCCTATAGCATCATAAAGAATGAGCAGGTTTTTATGCTGGTATTTACTAAATGCGAAGACCAAAGTGTCAAGTATATATGCAAGATAAGGAACAAGCTCTGTACAAGCCTCCTCTTCTAGAGTAGCAAAGGCACTGAATGACAAAAAAACCCCACCATAAATAGAAAAGTCAGTATCTTGGAAAGAACAAAACAAGACCACCCCAAAATGCCCCACACTACCCATTCCTGTTCAAACGTAGAACTGTATTTAGCCTTTAAATTCATCCAAGGTATGTTTTCAAAATGGTATTACTGAGAAACTCAGTCTATTTTGACTGAACACAAAGATTCAGCTCTTACACTGTGGTGAGCAAAATTTAAAAATATTCTGTTAAAAACCTTTTATGTATATATGCTACAGATCTAATCCTGCTTTATGAACAAACTTTCTTGGTAGTCTACTGTGTACACTCTTGCCCCACACAAACTGACATGTAAAAGCTTTATTTGCTGAGCTTCCTGCACAAGAGGTGTACCCATTTCATTAATGGTGTGTCCATTTTTTTAAATATCAGCAGGCAAGGGAGAGAAGAGAATCTTACCTCCAAGGATCTCCTTTCAAGAGAAAGGAAATATCCCTTGAAATAATTGTAATGCAAATGTTTTGGTAATCCTGAGTTAAATATAAACAATGCTAATGCAATGATAGTATAGTTTTCCAGTATTGACCTCATTCATAGGCCTATAAAGCCAGATTTCTGGTCAATGAAACCTCAAATATTGAAAAAAAACAGGTGTCACATGCAGATAATTTCTTTTACTGTAATAGATTGTTTAGTTTGGTTATTCATATATTCTAAAAACAAACTGGACAACAGAAAGACAAATTATCTGTTTTGATTTTACTACAACTCCGAATTATTTGTGACGACTTCAGAAGAAGTTGAACCTACTCCAATTTAAAAGGAAAAAAAAAATTAAGAAACATTAAGAGCTAGAAATGGAGTTATACATTCATCAGTAAAGGAATTAAAATATTTTCCCATGAAAAAGCAGTGTCATGGATAGTACTTTTTGTTTAAGCTTTGGCTCACCTGCAGGCAGCTTCTTGTACTCTCTTGTTGCTATCCAGAATGCGCTTTAGCAACTCAGTCATTAATGGTTTCAAGTATGTGTCTGGGGGTTGACTAACTACCCAGTGTGCATAGCGACTAAGAGTCCAGCAAGTAATGGAGCGCACAAGAGCCTTTTTATTAGAAAGGCACTGAATAAGGTGAGGGATCAGCTCAGGAAGATATGGAACCATACCCTGCATGCAGCCTAGAAGGAAAAATATAGCTATTACAGTAGAAAAATCAGAAAACATAATAGAACTTTTTGTTATTTCCTAGAAGGGACATATTTTCATCCTCTATCATGTAGTAATACATTTTACCAATATACAAAGCAAGTATACCTACTTTATGTTGTCCTAAAAAGAAACCACACCATGAACAGTAATTAAAATCCCCAATGAAATTTACATTCATTCCAACTACATTTCTACTTCAGTGTTTCCCCAGTCCCCATAAAGTCTGCTTTATTAAATGGAGTATAGCAAGAGCATCCAAATAAAATTAGTTTATAAAGCTTGGAAGTCTTATGCCAGTCTACTCAGAGTAACCAAGACAACAAGTAGAGAAAGATTAGGCCTTGATAACAAAACATCATTTCATTAAAAAAGATTCCTTAAGAAATTTAATGTTCTTGTTTTCTCTTAATATCACACCGACGCAAATAAAAGCTACACACTTCAAGTCAGCAAGGGCAGTAATACACTGAGATTTGCCAGAAGTACTAACTTTTATCTTGCTTGACTTGAAATCAAACCCCACAAAAATGTTTTCTAGCAACAAAGAAAATATATGTCCACTAGGCACTGTAGGAGAAGATAGATAATCCAGGCATGGACCCAAAAATATTCCTTCAGTTTGCAAAATAGACAGAGATGATGAAAATACAGGCAAAAAGCCAAGACTGTAAGTAAATACAAAGAAATGGAAGTTATCACATTTAAATCAGAGAACCATCCACAAAAAGCAGCTCAGGGCACTGAAGTCACAGATCTGGTCTTCTCCATTTCTGAAAACATTGAATGAAATGTAAATATTCCTGTTGTATCAAATCAAGGTAGTATTTCATGAGAGGCCAAAAAATATATACTACAGAGTTAAGAAACGGAGGAATAAAAGAAATTATTTAAGTTATTTAAGCCTTCAAAAATACATATTTGAACATTAAACAAGCAACTGCAGTCATCAATTAGTAGATGTAGAGATTAATCACTAAAAACAAATCAGCTAAGGATGTATACTTGCTTACACAAGTAAATTCACCCTGAACGGATCACAGAGCTGCTTTAGAACCAATCAAAAATTCAGCAACTTGATATGCACCATTGCCTTACCTTCAGCAATTGCTCCAAGAACAAGGATACCAGATTCTTTAACTACCCATTCGGGATGGAAAAGCAATTCCTTCAAAAGGGGCAAGATGTGTGGCAGAAGTTCGTCACGAAATACATTAGCCAGGACATCTAGAGCAGCAGCAGAACATTTCCCTGGAGGTAATTAACAGTGTTAATCTACTTATTATATTATTATTATACAAGTAGTTGTAGTTAGACAGTATGATCCTCATTTTAACTTTGAGCTGGCAGGGCATCAGGAGAAAAGATACTTCTATTTCATTACAATACACAGGGATTGAGCCACAGGTCTTAGAAAGTCATTTTTGCAGCATTTTTATAGTTACTAAAAGGACTTATACACTAGGGATATTAAAATACTCACTGACAGGAAACACACACTGTAAAAATCCTAAACTGGATCTAAACTACTAGTGGACCCAAACAAGACATAGCTAATTTTTCAGCTGAAGATAGCAACTACTAGAATAGATAACAAATAGAAAATTTTTTTCTACTCTGCTTCTAGATGATGTCCAACAAGCTTGAATAAAACCAAACATGAGCCCTCAACTCAGAGCAGATCTTCACTGAAAAAAAATAACAAACAGCACAGAGTCCCAGAAACTAGCACCTTAGAAAAAGGTTCTTCACCTAGAGGGTGGTTGAGCACTGGAACAGGCTCCCCAGGAAAGTGGTTACAGCACCAAGCCTGACAGAGTTCAAGAAACATTTGGATGATACTCTCAGGCACATGGTGTTACTCTTGGGGATGGTTCTGTGCAGGGTTAAGAGTTGGACTTGATGATCCTTGTGAGTCCCATCCAACTCCACATATTCTGTGATTCTGTTTCAACTTTCTACTAGAAGAGGAAAAAAGGTGGGCTTCCATATTTAGTTACCAGGTCTCATTAGTAACCAATGCTGCTGTCAGGCTGTGCTGATGTTTCTTTTTTGTTAAAATTGGAAATCAAATATAGAACACTGGATACTAAACAGGGAACACAATTCTGAAATTCAGATAATCTGAATTCTCTCAAGTCCAGATGACATACATGAAAACAGATTTCTTAACTGTTCTGTTCTCTCTCTTTCCTAGTCAGTTTTAGTTTCCTCGCTTTCTTAACCAAAACTGTGGACCACAGAGCACCCTCCATCATTTCAGTTATGTTTTCCAGAAAATATTGATTTAATTCTGGAATTTCTACACACGACTACAAGAACAGCATTATGAATTTCAAACTATAAAAAGATACTTTACAAAGGAAAACATATTTGTGCTTTTTGTCTTCTAAAATAATAATAACAATAATAATAATATTAAAAGTTTAGCTATGTCTCAAAGTTGTTTGATCCATAAGCTTCAAGGTACATTCATCTGTACTACATCTGAACTACTGGTAATGGCTGTCAGTAGTAGCATGTTCAAATGGAAGGGAAAAAATACACACACAAACCAGATTTAGAGGGAAGACTGAAGTAAAAGAAAGCATTATTAAGCTAAGAACAATGTGTAAGACTGTATTGGGTCTGGCTGAGATGGAGTTCATTTTCCCATAGCAGCCCTCACAGTGCTGTGCTTTGCATTCGTAGCTAGAAAGGTGCTGATAACACAACAGCATTTTGGCTACTGCTGAGCAGTGCTGGCACAGCATCAGCATTGTTTCTCCAACATTCCCCCCATCAGTAGGCTGCGGGTGGGCAAGATCCTGGGAGGGGACACAAGTAGGCCAGCTGATCCAAACTGAACAAAGAGATATTCCATACTATATGGCATCAGTTGAGATATAAAAGCTAAGGAAAGGAGGAGGAAGGGGGAGCATTCATTATTTGCAGTGTTTGCCTTCTGGAGCAACTGTTACTCATGCTGAAGCCCTGCTTCCTGGGAAGTAGCTGAACATCGCTTGCTGATGGGAAATAGAGAATAAACCTATTTTGTTTTCCTCTTTGCGTCCAGCCAAGGTCAACCAACCACAAAGATTTTTTTAAAAAACAGTGATATATGTTTTCTATTATCTTGTAGAATTAAAATTCAAAATCCAAAGCTTCTGTTGAATTGCATCCAGTAGATGTTTGCAGTTCTATTGGTCATATTCAAAATAAGTTTAAAGGTGGTTAGATTTTTCAATACAGTTACATAGCCAAAACATCACCTGAAAGACTCCCCCTCTGTCCCAATCACCAATTATATCAGCAGATAGGTCTTTTTCTGTTCAAAAGCAAAACCTCAGTATTCCTATACACAAACTCCTCTTTTTACTGTTTCTTGTATTATGCAAGTAGCTATATTTGAAAACATTTTATACATTGACATACTTAAATTCCAGTCAGAAATAGTATCATCATCATCAAGATCATTGTCATCATCATCATCTTCAATACGATCTTCTTCATGTTGCTGAGCTACTGTCCGTGAACGATGAAAACGAGGTCTTATGTCCTGTTCACTATCTGGAATAGCTTCATCTTCTTCAACATCCCCCTGCCAAAAAATGTTTTATCAGATAAACTAGTGCAACTATATTGCTCAAGGAATTAAGAATGTAGTGTCAATTTTAGTTCAATACATTTATAAACATGTGAAAGATTCACATACCACTTGTGCTGCCCTGCTAACTAAAAATGCCATTGTTCCTGCATTCTGCTACAGTATTTACCAGAAAAAAATCAGGAAAATAAAAGCAACAGAGGTAATCTCAAGGAAAAGCACAAAGTACCCTTCTTGTAAAGAAATTACTCTTGATGGGAAGGAATTAGAAGGAAGAAGAGATAGAGAAATTCAAGTACACAGACACATTCTAAAATGTTGTGATGGAAAAAGCTTTGTAGTTCAAGCTAGAAGGGCATTAAAATTAATTCTGATCATTTCTTTTCAGGTTGCTTTGCTGCAGTAATTCATGGGTAAAAGTATCCCAGCTCTGCCAAAGTTGGGTGGAAGGGGAGAGGGGCAAAGGAGGAAAGCCCACAGATTATTTTCCAACAAACATGGTAGCAGTTGCATTGCATTTTTGGAACAGCATACCTTGCCCCAAAAAGCTAAATCTCCACTGAACAGATGGCAGACCAGATCTGGCCTACCAGCTCAACCATTCTGATTTACAAGTCAGAAGTTACCCAGATATTCTTACTGAGTATAAAAGGAAGGAATGCTTACCTTTAACAGAATAATATCAATCTCTGAATACTTCATACCATTTACCAGCACAGGTATCAATCTACAAAGAAATATTGATACATGTCAAGAAGGAAGACTCTGGTAACTACAGGCCTGTCAGTCTCACTTCAGCACCTGGTAAAATTATGGTGAAAGGTATTCTGAGACTTATTGAAAAACATTTGAGAGACAACACAGTCACTGGTCACAGTCATGGGTTCATGAGGGGAAAGTCCTGTTTAACCAATTTAATTTCCTTTTACAACAAGGTCACCCATCTAACTGACCAAGGGACACCAGTAGATGTGAGGGTTTTTTGATTTTTAGCAAAGCCATCAATACTTTCTCTCACAGTATTGTACTGCAAAAAATGTCCAGCACACAAGTCCATAATAGATTGGGTGAACAATTGGCTAATGAGTTGGGTTTAAAGAGTTGCAGTAAATGGGGTCACATCAGGCTGGCAACTGGTCACCAGTGGGATTCCCCAGGGCTCAATTATAGGGTCAGAGCTCTTTAATGTTTTTATAAATGACCTGGAAGTAGGAATCAAATGTACAGTAAGTAAGTTTGCCAATGATACTAAACTAGGAGCTGTGGACTCCCTGGAGGCAGAGAGGCCCTGCAGAGAGACCTTGACAAATGACAGGGCTGGGCAATCACCAACCACATGGAGTTTAACAAAGACAAGTGCCAGACTCTGTACCTGGGACAGGGCAACCCTGAATGTATGGACAGACTGCGGAATGAGAGGCTAGAGAGCAGTGCCATGGAAAGGGACCTGAGGGTCCTGGTTGACAGCAAGTTGAATATGAGTCAGCAGTGTGCCCTGGCAGCCAGGAAGACCAACTGTATCCTGAGGGGCATCAGGCAAAGCATCGCCAGCTGGTTGAGGGATGTTATTGTCCCACTTTGCTCTGCACTGGTGCAGCCTCACCTTGAGTACTGTGCGCAGTTTTGGGCACCACAAGATAAGAAAGATATAAAGCTATTAGAGAGCATCCAAAGCAGGGCAACAAAGATGGTGATGGGTCTTGAGGGCAAGACTTATGAGGAGCAGCTGAGTTCACTTGGTTTGTTCAGTTTGGAGAAGACAAGGCTGAGGGGAGACCTTATCGCAGTCTACAGCTTCCTCAAGGGGGGCAGCAGATGGGGATGTGCTGATCTCCTCTGTCTGGTGACCAGTGACAGGACACAAGGAAATGGAATGAAGCTGCATCAGGGGAAGTTCAGATTGGACACTAGGAAAAGGTTCTTCACTGAGAGGGTGGTCGATCACTGGAATGAGTTCCCTAGAGAAGGGGTCACAGCAGCAAGCCTGACGAGTTCAAGGAGCATCTGGACAACACTCTTAGTCATATGATTTAGTGTTAGACAGTCCTAAGAGGAGCAGGGAGTTGGACTTGATGATCCTTATAGGTCCCTTCCTACTCAAGAGATTCTATGATTCTATGTCAAAATAACACATAAATAAAGCAAGCTGGTTTTCAGTTACCTGGTCCATAATTTTGACTGTAACCATACTCTCCCCAACAACAAACAAACAAACAAACAAAAAACCCCAGACAAAAACTTAGCCTGATACCAAAAGTTAGTACCTTAACCACACTCCATTTTATGAGGTTCATTAATACTTTGTCATCTGAAAAAGTGTTAATTTCTAACTAGAGGTAGCCAGATGGTACAACTGTGTTTTACATTTTAAAAACAGGATATTCTTCCCTATGATTAAATCTATTTTGAAGCACCTTTCAGAAAAAAATAAAATTCTTTTCAGTAAGAATTCACACTTCCAAAATATGCTTGATAAAAAAGTTATTACTTTGGTTCTATTTGTCACTTAACTGACCTGTGACTGAAGACTACCTCACTACTCTTAAGGATGGAAGTCTACCTACATTGAGCTCTCCTATCCTTTTGTGATTACTTCAAGTATCACCCCTTAAGACAAGTCCCTGACATTGCAGAGATCTTGACATAAGTCATTAGTCTATATTAGAACTTTACTTAGTTATTAAACTGGTTATGGCCATGGGTCTCCAATGGTATTGATGTATGGCAAAAAAAAAGTAACCGGGGAAAAAAAGTCAAGTATTTCACATATAAACACATTCGCTACAAAAATAAATCCATAAAAATAAATATATGTATTACAAGCCAAGTCAAACTAATACTGAAATTACCATAGACTGACCAAGTACCAGTGTCAAACTTAATCTCTCTATATTCTACAGCTGAGGAGTATTGTTTCTGAAGGTATTCAGGCCAGCAATAATATTCACGCATCTCAATGACAATATGAACTTAACAAAAATTTCCCTCAAATTACAACTGGAAAATGGCATTAACCTGTGTATAGGCACAGAGGCAAGAGGCAACCACACCACCACTCTGTGGAGCAATAGAGATTGATTTTAGTCAGGGGGGGATTGTGGTGGTGCACACCCCTCTCCCCATCTTCGGGCCTGCTCTACAACTTCAGAAGCTCCAGACAAGTCTTGACTGAACCAGTTGAGCATTGAAGCATCCCTGACTGTGCCAGGAGCTTGATATAGGTGGAAACAACACTGACCATACCAGGAACATCATCTGCCTGACCAAGGTGGGAAACAAAGGAAAGGCAGTTATTCTTGTTAGCCTTGGTAAATTATTTACCTGAAGTGTAGCCCGAGTGAAGTGGTACCATTGTTACAAGACCTTTTGAAAAAAATGAATTGTAGCCCGAGTGAAACAGTACCACTGTTACTGAACTTTCGGGGAAAAAAGACCAGCAGTTACTGACCTGGGTCATGGCCAGGATGGAAACTTACTGATGACTAAAGCCAACTCTCTTGCAACCCTATAAACAGTGGTCCTAAGTGAGGTCCTTTGAGCTCTCCTGGACCACAACAGGCTATGACCAGCAACCTCCCTCTGAGTGAGACACTTCTCAGAGCTCTCAAACCCTCGAGTTTGTGATACTTGAAGGACTATCACTGACAACAAGGCCTAGGCTGATATCCCCCCCCACTATCTCCATGCTCCTCCAGGTGCAACCCTTGCCTGTTGGGAAATGCAAAGGGATTTGACATGAGTATTTCACTGAACCTGAGGGGAATTATTGATAGGTACATTTACACACATAAAAATAGGTGTACACATGGTTTTACCTCTGTGTATGTGAATTGATTATGGTATGAATGCTGTTATAGTGAATCTGTAATTAAGTCACTGTTATAACTGTAATAAATCCTACTGAATTAATTTTTAAATGCTAAATTAGTCAATGATTAAGTGTTGCTAAGCCCTTCTGCACCCCTATCTTTTGTATCCATATCCTTTGCACCCTTACCCCCTTTTGCATTCCCAGTCTTCATGTAAATCATTCTAAATTGATTCTAATCTGATTTTCCTATGTATGCTTCATCTATATAGTAAGTAATAGTGAGCCTTGCCATTGAACTCTGTTAAAGTCACACTTTCACAAATACATATTAAAACCTGCTTTTTGCCAATACCTTTGATGGCGACTCTGAGTAGCTGAAATTACTCGTTCACAACAATTACCTTCTGAACTTTCAATAAAAGAATAGTAAGTATTCGGATTAACACCTATTACTTGGCATTTCTGCAGCATACTTAATGAAGTATGAAGGAACTATATATTTTATAAAAAAGCCTAAGGGATCAAAATAGAACAAGATACTAAACAAACAGGTTTTTAGATCTTGTCTCAATCTAATATAAAATAATTATCATCAAGTACTGGCAAATTTATATAGCTCCCTAGTCAAAAAGGACTCACCAACAAACAAGTTGCTTTCAACAAATATGACACTGAAAGATAAGAGAGATGTAATGTTACTCTTATCTGTTTTACTATAAATATAAAAACTCCTTAAAAATACCACAAAAACTGAGGATGAAGCTGTTGCAATGTCAATAGTCATGTTGATGCCTAAAATGGAAGTAAAAACTCTCCAAACAATATTAGTATAGATAAGGTAGAGAGCAATTCTTTATTGAAAGAGGCCAGAAGTTTACAATTTAGACTTAGAAGGTAACTAGTATTAATATGTGTGTTGGGAGGGAGAGAGGTAGAATCAAGAACTGTGCTACTATTCTTTTTTATTTTGAGCTATAAAAGTAGGATTAATTAAAAACATTTTAAAAATTTAAAGTAATTTCTCATAGCATTGGTTCTTCTGTTTTCAACTCCCATTCCTGTACTACTATAGCAGGTATTTTAATCTCAATTCCCTGTTTTCTAAATGCTTATGAAAACTGAAATTTTGAAACCCCCTCCCTTTTTTCTTTTAATTGCTTCACTTCTAAAATGGTCATTTTTGCTTCAAATAATGTGTCTCAACTCTCAGCATTTTAACTGGAAGAGCAGAATCACAGACAGAACTGCTCTAGTATTTTCTAAAACCTTCCATGCATATGTCAAAAATAGAGTCTCCATTTATTTGGAACACTGAAGAATTTGGTTCCTATTGCAAAAGTTTTTAGATTAGTCTGGAAATAAGTTATTAGCACTGTTGCAGACATGTAGATGTTTAAATCTCAAATTGTATATTCAATTCCCATTCAATCAAGGATCTACACTTTAAGGCTTAGGATAATTTTTTGAAACTTAGAAAAAAGTTTTTGAAGCTTAAAAAACTATTGTCAGTCTGAAGAAGCATGAAGAAAAACAATATACGTGCTTTCAAGTTTAAATTGGTAAATGATATGAAATTGATTCCAAAATCTAAATGACCTTGTCATTTTGTTATGTTATGTTCTTCATAAAGGTGGGGAACCCCTGGCATGACACATAGAAACATTGCACAGAAATGCTCACAATAGTAGTTGTCAAGACAACATGTTCATGGTACACCACATATTACAGGTAATGTCACATGAAGATATTTGTTTAAGCTTAAGCAGATGATAGTATACCTTTATATAAATCTGATACTTAACGGGCTGTTAAGGTTGAGGTAGAGCACCAGTGATACAGTTTAGGTTGCTTCTGGAGCCAAGTCTGAAATCCTCAGAAGTCTTTTCAGTGACCTCTTTGCTACAGCCATTTTTAATATGCACAAGAACTAGCTACAAGAAACTCCTCCTAAGCATACAGCAAGCTAGATACAGTCTCTATAATAGTAACCAGGAAAAAGTCAACTGAAGTTTAAAGATGACTATTGTAAAATAACTAGTTCTAATTCTTAATACTTACTTAGTAAGATGTCGACATAATACATCTTTACAAATTGGCTGTTCAGCCAAAGTCAACCAAAACTCGCAAGCCTCCAAAGCAACATTTTCATCTTGGTCCTGGGTCCTTTGAAGCATATACTACACAAAAAAAAAAAAAAAGCCAATCTTGTATAAGTTTTAATTGAAGAAGCTATCAACATTGCAAAGCATGTTTGCAAAATCAAACTATGCTCCCAGAGTATAGTATATGTTTCTTTGGGGCAAGGGGAAGAAACAGATATAAGATACTACTTAAGGCTATGGTGAGAATAAGCCAAGAGACAATGTTAGATGATTCAGATTCTAAGATTTTCACTGTTTAAGTGAGAACATTATTACCAAGAAAACTATAGACAGAGACCCATGATAGTAAACAGTTCCTGAGAATAGTTGTTTTTTTCTTCAATTATTATTTTAACACTCCCCCCCCTTTCTCTTTTTTAATAAAACTTACTTTTGAATAAAACACTTAGTAAGATGGAAAAACTTTTTATATCCAGTACCAAAAAAAAACTTCCCTTTAAAATCTTAAATACCTGACTGGATGCAATTAAGTAGAACCCATTACAGGGGAAAAAAAGTCTCACTTTTTTCTAGCATGAATGGTAATTCAGAGATTCAGTATCAAATCTTTAGGCTTGCTGTTAAAATTTAATTCCCCTAAACAAAAAAGAATCAAATACCTGCATTATCAGAAAGGCTAAGTATACCACAGCTACATCAGCTTTTTGTACAACTGCCAAAGAAATTTAGGGAAGACACTTGCAACTTCCCAAATAGTAATTTCTGCATTGTTCCATGCCAGTTCTTTATTTCTGAAACATTTTAGAAGCCTCATGGAAGTCCATGCAGCTACCTTTCCTCACACAATCGTTTAAAACAAACAAAAGAAATCCTCCTCCAGAATTACCATTTTGTTCTCAAAATTAAATAGGATGGGACAACCTATATTATCCTTATGCATTTTAGGGATGCAAGATTTGCAACAAACATATCCCTTCCTACAGAACTGTATTCCCACAGAGCTGCATCAAAAGAAGCATGGCCAGCAGGTCGAAGGAGGCAATTCTCCCCTACCACTCCACTCTGAGACCCCACCTGGAGTATTGCATTTAACTCTGGGGGCCCCAACACAAGAAAGACATGAGACTGTTGGACCAAGTCCAGCAGAGGCCACAAAGATGATTAGAGGGCTGGAGCAACTCTTTTATGTGGAAAGGTTGAGAGAGTTGGGGTTGTTCAGCCTGGAGAAGAGAAGGATTCGAGACCTTCTAGCACCTTTCAGTACCTAAAGGGGCTCCAAGAGAGCTGGACAGGGTCATTTTACAAGGGCATGGAGTGACAGGACAAGGGGGAAATGGCTTCAAACTGACAGAGGGCAGAGTTAGATTAGATATTAAGGAGAAATTCTTTACTATGAGGGTGGTGAGGCACTGGATCATGTTGCCCAGAGAGGTTGTGGACTCCCCTCCCCATCCCTGGAAGTGTTCAAGGACAGGTTGGATGGAGTTCTGAGCAACCTGGTCTAGTGGAAGGTGTCCCTGCACATGGCAGGGGGCTTGTAACTAGATCATCTTTGAGGCCCCTTCCAACCCAAATCATTCTATGATTCTATGAACTGCACTAAATTGTGTTTCCTAAAGGGTCGTTATTGTGATTAAGAACTGACAGCAGCAAAAATACTGCTCTATTCTGACTTACGAACAGATTACAGCTTGGAAAAGTTGAAAAATGTCCTATCCATTGCAAGAAAGGTTCATTAATGCAACTGAAGTGATTTGGCATTTTTCCCTAGAGGGTTTGAAAATCCACACTTTTCTTGTGTCCAGTTATTTGTCACGAAGACAAAACTGTGAGAACAATCTCTCTTTAAATTTACAACGATGGTGGAAAAAAACCCCACAGAACAAAGAAAATAATAATAATAATACGAGTAGGAAAATTTAATTACAACACATTGGGTGCTCAAGTCCCTAAATTTCCAAGAGCACACCTCCCAATTCATAACTCCTGCCTTTTAAACATTCCTAAGGTCCAACCCTGTTTTTCATCACGGGGGGGACGTTTCTCCTCTTCGAATTGGCTCTCCTGTGCTCCCCCCTCATGCCAGGGGTGGAGTTTCAGGTAAAATGGCGGCCTCCATCTGCCCCCATGGCCAGTCATGTGACATGGGGCTGGGTCAACTATATTTCCAGTTAGTTCTCAATTCCCTCTTCCCGCATGCCCAATCCCTGGCATACATTTCAAGACTGAACTGTGTGCCTTACAACTTTCGCGGAATGCCTATAGGTTGGTAATAAGAATAATCCTTTGTTAGTACCCTTTGTCCATTTTATTTGCTTGTAATAAAACCAGTTTTTTATTTCTCACAAAACCAGAATGACAAAAAGTAATTTCTGTTTGAAGGTGCTCCTCACACTGTCATTTTCTCTTTAAGCATGTATTATAATACATGCTCCATGAAGTCAGATAGCAGTAGATTGAAAAGGCTACTTAGTGGTATAAGACAGGCATATACACATCATGGAAATCATAGAATGGTTTGGGTTGGAAGTGTAAGAAATAAATGAGACAGTTTTATTACAAGCAGAGTTTCCATGGTTGCCTCGTGATGAGGAGTTTTAGTGACCAGGGGTGTTCTGCAGCTGCCTGTGGCTGCAGCTCTGTTGCAGTCATGACCTGTTAAAGGTACTAATAGTTGTGATCCTGTAAGTAATAAATAAGGCGGTTTTATTACAAGCAGGAGTTTACTCATGTCAAGATACCTGGAAGCTGTATTGTCTGGGGGGATTGGAGAGTTATTTAGTAGTCGGGTACCGATAGTCTGTTTTCAGTTACTTATTGTTGTTGCCTATAGTTACAGTATAGAGGTTAGTCAGGAAGCCTGTAAGACAATGGGACCAACCAGGGCTCATTGCCGAGGGACCACGGGACTGGGACACGGAAACAACCTCATAGGTCAGTTAAGACAACCAATGGACTGGCAAAGGGAAGTGTGAACCCACCCTGAGAGACCCAATCCAGCTCATGAAAAGGGCTATATCACCTTTTAAGGAAGAAAAGGAGCAGATCTGAGCATGGGAGGAAGGAGGGAATAGTTATGCAAATCAAGAAACCTTAAAAGAACTGCCCTCTCCCATCTCAGGTGTGCTCTCAGGCTCTGGCATGAGGCAGACCTGATCACACCCAGAGAACTGAAAATAAAGTTCTTTGTTTCACTTTATTTGGCTGTCTTTGTAATTTTAATTCTAGATATTTCTCACAGAAGGGACTTCAAAGATAATCTAGTTCCAACCCCCCTGCCTCGTGCAGGGACACCTTACACTAGACCAGGTTGGTCACAGCCCCATCCAGCCTGGCCTTGAACATTTCCAGGGATGGTGTCATAGGTTTGCTTGTTTTAAAGAAAAAAAACTGGCTGGGAATTTTTTCCCCTGTCCCACTGTGAAAGGAAGGTGTTGTCAAAAGAGGGTGAGGGGATAGTTAGAGTGATTCACACACACAAAAGAACTAGCCAGCAGCCCCACATTCCAAGCCAATGGGCCTCAATAGACTGGGGGGGAAGGTGAGTTTTTCTCCTTGGGAAACTGCATCCTTTTTTACTTTTTTTTCTGGGACTCAGGAAGTATGCAGGGTGGAGAAGCAAGCTCCAGGTTCAGTTTGTTCTCCGGTTCTTCGGACACAGTTTCGCATCCTGTTTTGCCCCCCGTGTGCCCCCCTCAGAGTTGCCAAGGATCCGGAAACTGACAGCATCTTGTGATTTTTTTCCCTTTCTTCCTGGGTTTCCCCGCTCCTCGTTGGACAAACTGACATCCCAGTCCCTTCCTAGCTGCCACTTTCATGGCTGAGGGTGGGGGGGACACAACTTGGGGTCTTGAACCACCTGGCACGGCTGAGATCTACCATTTGCCACTTGGGGTTCGCCAACAGTGCCCCCTACTGACCACTAGAGTGCAACCGCAGGCTCTACTGCTCCAGAGATCCAACAGCACCTCCTGTTGGTCGTGCTTAAAATTGCCCTTAAAGGAGTAAAGAACTGTTTTTGGGTGGGAATTTGGGTGAGGGATTGTTGTTTGGTTTTGTTCTTTTGGTGTGCTACCTATATGCATATATCCTTTAATAAAGGGTTTTTAATTTTTTGTTTCTTTCTCCACATTTCCTCGACTGGACCCTCTTAATTTTGGATTTACAATTGCTTAGAGGGGGAAGCTTGGTCTTCCTCATAACTTGCCCTCCTTAGCAAACACTTCTGTCTCCTTAAACTGAGACAGATGGTGCATCCACAACATTGCTAGGCAACCTGTGCCAGTGTCTCACCACCCTCACAGGGAAGAATTTCTTCCTAATATCCAATCTAACCCTACTGTCTAGCAGTTTAAAACCACTGTCCCTTGTCCTGTCACTACAATTCTTGATAAAGTCCTTCCCCATCTTTCCTCTAGGTCCCCATAATAAGTACAGTGATACTAGGCATTGGAATGGGCTGCCCAGGGAAGTGGTGGATTCTCCATCCCTGGAGGTTATAAAGATGAGACTGGATGTGGCACTTAGTGCCATAGTCTAGTAAGAGCAGTGGTAGTGGATCAAGGGTTGGACTTGATGATCTCAGAGGTCCTTTCCAACCCGGCTGATTCTATGATTCTAGTAGCAAAGCAAAGTGTGGGAAATATTATTTGAAGGCTTTTATGTTTTTTCAGTATTTCTCAGAATATTCCGAGTTGGAAGGGACCCACAAGGATCATCGAGTCCAACTCTGAAGTGAATGGCCAATAAGGAGACTGAACCCACAACCTTGGTGTTATTAGCACCATGCTCTAACCAACTGAGCTAATCTCAGGGTTGTTCTTGTGCCATACTTTAATATGTATTTTCAATGAGAAGCTAAACAATTCTACTGACTTTAGGCAGTGGAAATAGTTGCTTCATAGCAAAAAATTACAAAATAGCATAGGAATATTATTCAGAACTGCTTTGCATACTCTATAACAATGTTGTGTTAGTCTTGCTATGTCAAAATATGTGATGCCCAAAGCATTAAGACACATCCTTTGAGCAGTAACAGACATCTATCTGAAAGCAACAGGATGCACACAATCTTATTACTTCAGCAACAAGTTGAGTTTCTGTATTATAACTTCATACTATCAACATCATTCATTAGAAGCAATTGCATTATGCATTGTTGAGGGAGGAAGGGGTTGAAAACAGAAAATTGGCAAGAAGAAAAGAGAATAAGTTGGTTTTAGAATTGTTTTAGCTTAAAGACCAATCTTGCAGCTGGGAATTGCTAAGAATATTGCTTCAGTGTGGGAATCTTCACACCCTGTGTTTCCTTTAGGTTGTTTTCTGTCTATTGAAAGAAATGGAATTGTCTCAAGGAAGATGACAGAATGTTGTTAAAAACTTAAAAACATTCTTTTCCGAAGGCTTGGGGGGAAGGGAGATAAGAGAGAAAGCTTAGAACTGTAAAAATAGCCTAGTGAGCCACTTGCACATGCATCAGGCCTTTAAGACAAAGCCCAGACCAGGCTGGTGCTTTTTGCCCCTGCTAGGCTTTGACTTAGCAGTGTATGTGTGTGTCCCTGCAAATGATGGAATAAATCTGTTCCTCACACTTCAGTTGTGAGTTGTGGCCATCTTGGTTAACCTGCATCTATCAGTTCTTACAATTGTACTACAAAAAGTCAGGACTTCTGTTGACAAAAATCTTAGGACCCACATGTCTGGCTAAATATGCTCTATGAACATACAAGTGCAATCTAATAACTGAAGTCTGTTAGGTCAGTCTATTCCTGACATATCCTGTTGTCATGTTCTCAGAGAAAGGTTAAAAATAAAAACACAGAAAAATTCAATCATCCCTGTATCCTCCAGGAACTTGTCAAGAAAGTTAATACTAAACCTGTCTAGTTCAAAAGCATGACACTGGCCAAGACCTTCTGTCTTCGAATCACAACTGAACCATTAATATTCTTAACTACTTTAAAAGTGATTCTCCATAAGCATAAAAAACTTTATCAAGTTAATAATGTTTCTCTTTTTAAGAATTCCTTCAGTTAGACAAGCCACCATCAGCAACATTCAGCTTGGAGGTATTCAAGTTTCAAAGGAACAAAACCAAACTCGTTTGTATGTTGAACATTCTGGGATATTCTGGAATATTACATTAGCACATACCAATATGCATACAGAACTGGGGAAATCAATAATAGTACACAGTAGTCCCAAAACTGGGGGGGAAGGGGGGGAGGGGAGGAAGTCTAAACTTCATTATAGAGCAAAAATTCACTACTACTGTCTTTTATAGAGAAGATGCCTTTTAAGTTTTCCAAAAAAAAAAAAAAAAAAGGGATACAATAAGGATACAATATTGGATCTTCTAGTTGCTGACACCATTTCTACCTGCAAAGTCCACAAATTCCTTACTGATTTGTTTGCTGACAACCCCACGTTGTGTGGTGTGGTCAACACTCTAGAGGGAAGGGATGCCATCCAGAGGGACCTGGACAGGTTTAAGAGGTGGGCCCATGCAAACCTCATGAAGGCCAAGTGCAAGGTCCTGCACCTGGGTTGGGGCAATCTCAAGCATAAATATAGGCTGGGTGAAGATTGGATTGAGAGTAGCCCTGGGAAGAAGGATGTGGAACTACTGGAGCAAGTCCAGCAGAGGCCACAAAGATGCTCAGATGGTTGGAGCACCTCTGCTATGGAGACAGGCTGAGAGAGTTGGAGGTATTCAACCTGGAGAAGAGAAGGCTCCAGGGTGACCATAGAGCACCTTCCAGTAATTAAAGAGGCTCCAAGAGAGCTGGAGAGGGACTTCTAAGACCCTGGAGTGAATGCCTTCACACTGACAGAGGGCAGAGTTAGATTAGATATTAGGAAGAAATTCTTGACTGTGAGAGTGATCAGGCACTGGATCACGTTGCCCAGAGAAGTGGTGGATGCCCCATCCCTGGAAATATTCAAGGCCAGGTTGGATGGAGCTTTGAGCAACCTGGTCTAGTGGAAGGTGTCCCTGCCCATGGCATGGGGCTTGTAACTAGATGATCTTTAAGGTCCTTTCACACTCAAACCTTTCTAGGATTCTATGATCATAGGAGGGTGAAGAGTCAGAGAAGTTATCATTTGCTGACAATATAATCTCCAAAAATTTATTCTATCTCTCCAAAAAAAACCCAAAGCAGACCAAACAAAAAAAAAACCCAAAACCTCAAGTACCAACAATTCCTAATTGTCCTGTGTTACATGAGAAGATATCTGCCAGGGTTGGTGCCATGGAATTCCAGACAACACTAGACAGATGTTAGAGGTTAATCTCAATTTTATGCCTCTCTAATACCTTTGTCCAGGAGCAAAAAAAAAAAACCCAAAAAATTAGCAACTTCCTTATTTTGTCTGGATTTAGCCCATATGGAATTTGACACTGGGTTATGAGCCTCTTGTTCATATATGTGCATGAGAAAGATACTGATCTTTGCTATATTTCCAATCTAGCAAATAGTGTATGTAAAGACTACATAGAAAGTGCTGTATTTCCCAGAAATATGGAAATTACAATTCAGTTGAGCAGACAAGTACCAGTTGATTGGTGCTCTGGTAGGCAAGTCTGCACTAATCTAGAATGATAAAGGAACTATCAAATGACACCAACCTGTAAAACTGAATGCCATGGCAGGCAGTTTTTTTAGTAGCTCAAAGAGCATCTCAGATATATAAAATTACATTCCTTAACCTTGCTGTGGTCAAAAGATCCAAAAAAGGTGACAGTTTCAATGTGTAAACTGCAACAGTATCAGCACCAGACCTAAGATTTTTAACATGATCTTCTCACTTGTGGTCAGACAATGCCTGGTTGCTCTGTGGTATAGTTGATACTGGCCATTTCAGAATTAATTAATGAAGAATGAACAACTGCCTTATGCATTGTCTGTCAAATACAATGTCATGTTGGCAATTAGCTAAAAAGAAACTGTTGCAACCTCAAGCATATAATGAGGAGTAGATAAGCACAAGAGTAACATACCTTTTCTGATGTATGTTTTTAATTTGCTATTATTTATGCAATCCCAAACATGTTTCAGCATGCAATTTGGGAAATAAGACTCACCTCAACTATACTAATCATATGAGGAAGCAGACGATCCATTCGAACTTCCAGTAACATTACCAGAGCACGACAAACATTTTTGCGTACTTCGGGCTCCTCATCACCAGCCAGTGCAAAAAGATTCTATTGGAAAGTAATACCAGTTGAAAAGCTTCAATTCATCCAGTTCAACTTGTATTTAAATTGACATTATTGGTAAACTAAAGTATGCAAACGTACTTCTGTACCGTCCCACCCCACACCTCAGAAAACCGCATTACTTCCTAAACACATGGTTTAGTAAATGAAGTCTTTGGACTTTCAGTGTGTATTGTTACTCAGTGTTTTGGTCGTGTACATTAGACACAAGAACATTATTCCCTGAATTTTTTTCCCCTAAAAATTAATGAAGTTCTGAAGCTAGAAAATGCCTTCAGTACATAACAGCAGCAAATAAAATACTCTGGATAACCCATAATCTAGACTCAGTGACATGATGATCCCTGTACAGAACTCTCAATCACAGGTAAGTGACAGATTGCTACCAATACCTCTCTAGAAAAAGTTTCCTCTATTTGTGAAAAGGAAGCATTTTTCAAAACACTAATTTCTTGGGCTGGAAGAGTTCTTAGACTATTTTGAGCATAAATATGCAGAATGACCTTCAACCCGTGGGGATTGAAGCTAAGAATGGGAAGCCATCAATGTGGAGTTTGAGGGTAGTGGTGGTTGTAAAACATTATTCAAAGTTCTTGATAAATTAGATATGTTATTTGACCTAACCCCCCCAACCAAGAATGCACACTTACCTCAATAAAAGAATCTATGTGCAACATAAGAGCTTGAGTTCTGCTGATGATGAATTGATTGACACATGCAACAGCATGAGACCTACAAATGGAACAGTTAAAATGTATGTTTTTCATGGATTAAACATTTTCTAAACTGCATATAGGCATCAAAAACATTAGGAAGTAAATCACACTGTCCAAGCATCTTATAGAGGTAAGAGGGAACAAATCTGCACATCTATATTATTACCAAGAGAAATTACTAAACCACATTTTAAAGTACCACCTTATACTCCAATATATATAATAAATAATTTTAAATTAAGTATTCAGTAAATAAAAAACATATCAGGATGCCTATACGTGGCACATTCGTTCCAAACAGTATGCAAGGATGTTCTTTTTCATAATAATCATAACATACTATTATGATTATTAATTTTCTCTGATATTTACAATTCCATACAAGTCAACATGGTGACATTTTATCATGCCCTTCTTCATTACTAAGTATCCAACTGCCTTGGCAAGATTTTTATAATATAATGAGACCACTATGCATCAGTAATATAGTTGTAGCTTAGAACAAATACACACTTTCATTAGGATATGTAATAAAACACTTGTGGTAGAAACAAACTGAAAATGAAGAACTGGTTCTTCTATTTCACTTCATGCAAAGCCATTGTTTACAAGTCTTTTTCATTCTCAGAGATACAAAAGCCACATTATATAAGTAAAGGTACAAGATAAAGCTACCTTTAAAAGCCTCTGAAGATCCATTCAAGTATTTTTACTAACATAACTCCAAACATCTAGTCTGTTCAGACATTTCTTGAAAGAAAGTCTCATAAACCAGTGTTCAAAAGTTGTCTCTGGACAGATTTAAATACTGTTAATATTTAAATACTGTTAAATACTAATAGTATTTTACTGACACTACAAATATTCTTCATACTTAAGCACTATGTACTGAAACCAGACCACAGGTCAGCAGGTGATCTGCTTTAAAGTTGAAACTGGTTTAACTATCTCAAAACCAAAGCTTATCTTTCTACAAGTGTCAGTTCATGCTTTGTTATATATTTTACTTAGTGTGCATCTATTTTAGGTGAGTTTTTAATCTTATTTAAATTCTATCAAGATATTCCTAGTTATGCTCTTTCTTTTAGTCTTCACCATCTGCTGGCAATAACTGAACCCTCCAAATCGTAAAATCTTTCAATATAATTTTCAAACAGGAGTCCAAAAACACATTTCAGAGAATCACATAGAGGTTGGAAGGGTCCTCTGTAGGTCAGTTGCTCAAGTAGAGCCACCTACTGCTGCTTGCAGAGGACCACATCACAATGGTTTTTGAATATCTCCAAGGATGGGGACTCTACCACATCTCTGGGTAACCTGTGCCAGTGCTTGGTTGTCCTCATGGTAAAAAAAGTGCTTCCCAATGTTCAGAGGGAACCTTCTGTCTCTCAGTCTTTGCCCATTGTTGCATGTCCTGTCACTGGACACAAATGAAAAGAGGTTGTTCTCTGTCTTCTTTGCACCCTCCCTTCAGGTATTTACACACATGGATGATGTCACCCATGAGCCTTCTCTTCTCCAAACAGTCCCAGCTCTCTCAGTCTTTCCTCATAGGAGAGATGCTCCAGTCCCTTCATCATCTTTGTGGCCCTTCACTAGACTGTCTCCAGTAGCTCCATGTCTCTCTTGTACTTGGAAACCCAGAACTGGACACAGTTCTACAGGTGTAGCCTCACCTGGAGGGTGAGGGGAAGGATCTCCTCCCATGCTGGTAACACTCCAGCCCAGGATACCATTCACCTTGTTTTTGGCAAGGGCACATTGTTGGTTTATTTCAGTATAAAAACTACTGTTCTTGTTGACAAATATTAGTAATAACAAGTTAATTTTGGAATTTTTCTTCTATTCTATACTTCTGTTACTTTGGAGAGATTAATACTGTATTACAGTAAAAAGATCTTGAACCCATATAATTTTATCTAGTTGAAAGATAAAGAGTTTTATAAGTTTTGGTGCAGTTAAAGGAGGAAAATATTTTTCTGCAAGAACTCAGAAACTATTATCAGCAAATGATGTTTTACTCTTCCATTGATGCAGTATCATAGATTTACTTGTTCTAAAAAAACCAAGGGGGAATTTTTTTCTTTCCCCTGCATCACTGTAAAAGAAAAATGTTGAACGGGGGAGGGTGGTTTTGCCTTGGGTGATTGACCCACACAAAATAACCAGGTGAGGAGTTATTTTTCTCTCCTCGGAAATGGGAGGCACTTCACTTTTGCCCTAACTCAGGTAGGGTGTGTGTTGGGAGGGGTCCAAGCTTCACTTTGTTTTCCACCTGCTCACCTGGCTGCTTTTGGCCCCAGTTTGCCTCCGATTTCCTGCGCCCTGTTTTGCCCCCAGCCCAGACCTGCTTGGACTTCATCAGAGAGGCTTGACCCATCTGTAGAGGAACCTTTTGGGGAGGAGGTCGCCCTTTCCCTCCTCCGCTCCCATATTGGCAGCGGCATGTTCCCATCAACGAAAAGGGGGCAATCCTGGCCAGAGTCAGCTGCTGACAGTGTGAGTTTCATGGGAAGAGCCCCCCTTTTCCTTCCTTTTTCCCTTCCCCTTTTCAGTGGGGGAAGATGATCTCCATTTTTGGCTTCTCCCGTACACCAGGGCCCCATGCGGTGACCACCAGAGCCCAACAGCGCCTCCTGCCGACCACCACAGAGCAACTGCAGGCTCTGCTCCTCCAGTGAACCAACAGCACCCCCTGGTGATCGTGGTTAGAATTGTGCCAAAAGGCAGAAAATACTGAACTGTTTCCTTTTTGAAGGGGACTTTGGGTGCAGAATTATTGTTTAGTTGTTTTTGTGTTCTTTTGTTGTTCTGCCAATGTACATATATCCTTTAATGAAGGGCTGTTATCTTTTCTTTCTCCACACTTCCTCAATCAGAGCCTCTTAATTTCGGATTTACAATTGCTTGGAGGGAGGAGTTTGGTCTTCCTCATAACTCATCCTCCCTAGCAAAACACTTCAGTCTCATTAAACTGAGACATGCAGTCATAACAAAATTAATGCAAGATAGTTGTTTCTAATCAGAATATGAAATTTTAACCACAGCATTGAAATTTTCATAATAATATGCAAAATATTAAAAAAAATTGATTTTCAAAGTCAGAAAATGTTGGGTACCAGGCAGACATTAGACCTGGGAAAGCAGGTGCAGTTGCTCAGCAAGAGGCCTCAGAGATAAGGATGGAATCCAGCAAACAGCCTTGGACACTCAGTGAGAGCGAGAGAAGAAGCTGCTAAACTTCTGTGGAAGAACATCATGGGGCAAACACCTGCATCTCAAGTTAAAACTGAGAAAAAAGGACTTTTAACCCCTGCCTTACCTGTAGAAAAAATATGACCTTATATGTAGTAATACCAGAGTGACATATGATAGTGTAAAAAAGTTCAGATAGAGTGAATAAGTTTTGAAAAACTGTATAACTGTGTGGCAAGTAGTTCCCTGCATGCTCCCTGCCCTGTAGTCTGCAAAATCCTTGCTCTAGGTGTGATAAATATGCTTAATGTAAACATTGCATTCCAGAATTGGCTCTTCAACCATTTCTGGTGCTGCTCTCCACTTCCCCTCACCCTGCTGTGCGCGAGACGAAGAGGACGAAGAATAAAACCCTTGTTTTTGCTGCTGCAGTCAAGTTCTCTTAATTTCACCACCAAGACTGCAGACAGCTAGGGACCAAAAAAGTCCTAGTTGGAGAGCTGGTTTAGGGAAGTGGACGTCAGCAAGAAAGATTCTAGATTTGGAAGATGTATAAAGAGGTGAGGATGATCTATTAATTAAACAGATAAGTGTGGAAATTACTGATGCATGAAATTTCTGTGCCTTCGCTTCTCACATTTGCATATGCAGGATCATTTAAAAAAACTAAGCATGTTTTAAACTGATCTACAAAATATCAACCTTGCTGCTCATGTAAATAATTTTTTAATAGATAACTTTAGTATAACACCTACCTTATTTTTGGACTGCTGTGTTTGAAGAACTGCAAGAATTTAGGTATCATGACATTGAGTGGTCGGTCCAATACATCGCTATCTAAAATTTCAGCAGAGTCTTCACATATCTTCTGAAGAGCACCAAATGCACCCTGTTTAAAAACAACCAAACAAAATCCAAAAAACCAAAAAAATCTGTTCTTTTAAATTTTGAAGAAAGTAACATTTTAGGTTTTGTACAGAACACAATTTTAGCAAAAGACCACAGTAAATGAAGCTAATTAACAAAGTAAACGTAGCTGACTAAATATGGAGTTTAATTAAAATAAAGACTTTTTATTTAAGCACTTTATACTATCATCTGTAAGATGTCAAGCTGGATGAGTCTATAACAGGTAAGTGGCAATTTTATTTTAACATTCAATGCTCATTTATGTATTCATATTAATAAAAATGCTTAAAAGCAAGATTTTTAAAAAATCAGATGACTTTTTTTCTTCATAGCTTAAAACAGTTAAGCTGGTATCTATTTTCCTTCATAAACACTGAACAAAAAAGATTATATGTGCATATACACACATACAAAATACTATACATATATATAGTATCTATGAAGAGAGAAAAAACATATTCAAATTTAAATAATAATCCATTTCAAAATAAGCCTCTTTACCTCACAGGTATTATAATCTTCAGAATCCAACAGGCTGCAAAGCTTTGGTAAGAGGTCAGGCCAATTCTGTAATTCCCCTTTTGAAGCAATGGTTGTTATCAGAATGCCTAAGTGAATCAGAGGAATAAAGGAAATGAGATCTCATATATCTTTACAGGTTTCCCACCAATTTTTCTCATTTTACTCTTCTAAAAGATCTAAGGAGTTAATAAATTTATTGTTTTATTAAGAGCTGATCAACATAAAAAGAGGAAGTACATTTAATTACAAATGGTATTTGAAGGGTTTTGAAATGCAAAGGCAGGTTGCTCCTTCCTGCTATCATGAAGGGTTCAGATGTGAGAAGTCAAGCACAAAGTAATTCCAGTTAAGGTAGTAATCATGTCCAAATACTCCAGGAAAGGTTCTGCTCTATCTTTACTAAAAACTGTACAAATCTTGACCTCCAGTAAACATAGAGTAATATCCAGCTCAAGTCACCCCCTCTTTATTATGATACAAAGCCAGGAACATCAAAAGATGTCATTCTAAAAAATTATAACCCATTGCTAAATTATGTGTTCACAACTTTACTATGTTTACACAAAACATTAAGAGCACATGCTGATGTCCAGGTGTTAGAAAGATAAATTCAACTTGCTGGTAGAATTGCTTTGTTAAAGTTTAGGGCTGGACATACTTCAGTGATCTCAGACCTAGTGGGAGGTTAATAAAGCTTGGGAAGAAGGATGTACCACTGCAAGTGGACACAAAGAATGCAGAATGTATGGGCCACAAGGACATCTGGCAGAACTCCCAAGATAAGGAAGAAACTAATAAAACCAACTCAGCAACTGTGCAGAAATCAGTTCCAACTGGGTAAAAGATAATTCCAGTAGGGGAAGATTGCAACCACTGACTCACAGACAAACGACCCCAGAAAACCACTGACCCAAAAGAAGAGGAAGACTGAGTATGTGGACTAATTAGCATGGGAAGTGAGAGAATCATTAACCAGTAGGAGGTAGAATACTAATTAATAAGAGAACTATGTAACTTGTAACCAGTGAGCATTAATGCCTTTGTTAAAATGTAAAAATAGTATAAGGTTTTGATGATCAGGGAGCCAGTCTTTTGTGGGTTACCACTCAGTTCCCTACTTTGCACCAAGTAGAATAAAAAAATAAAAATACCTTGCCTTAGTGTGTTAATTAGCACTGTGCACAGGACAGCAAGCCCACATTCTAAGACAGATACCTAAGAGCTTACAAACTATGGCAGGTCATCCAGTAATCAGTTGTACGGGTTGGCTGATTCAGATCTAGCAAACAGAGAGGATGGTCCAGAGAGTCATTTCCATTTTCAACACTGCAGTGGGTTTCTGTGGCTGGGTTTTGGTAGCAGGGGGGGCCACAGGGGTGGTTTCTGTTAGAAGCTGCTAGAAGCTTCCCCTGTCCCATGGAGCCAATGCCAGCCGGCTTCAGGACAGACTTCCTACCGCTGGCCAAGGCCAAGCCCATCAGGAGTAATAGTAATGCCTCTGGGATAACATATTTAAGAACAGAAGGTTGTTGCACAGAAAGAATTCCAACCAGGGAAGAGTGGAGTGAGAACATGGGAACAACAAAGTAGACACCAAGGTCAGTGCAGAAGGAGGGGAAGGAGGTGCTCCAGGCACCAGAACTGAGGCCCCTGCAGCCCCTGGTGGAGCAGGTTGTCCCCTTGCAGCCCATGGAGGACCATCAGGGTGCAGAGACCCACCTGCAACCCATGGAGGAGCCCATGATGGAACAGGAGGAGGAGCCCATGCATGAAGGAGGATGTGACCCTGTGGGGGGTCCAAGATGGAGCAGGGTCCTGCTGGGGACCTGCAGCACATGGAGAGGGAAGCCCACACTGGAGCAGGTTTTTCCCAGGTAGGACTTGTGGCCCCTGTGGGGGACCCTTGTCAATACAGCACATCCATGAAGGACTGACCCCATGGAGGAGGGACCCATGGGACAGCAGTTTGGGAACAACTGCTGTTTGAGGGATGGACTCACGCTGGAGAGGTCCATCAAGGACTGTCTCCCATGGGAGGGACCCCACGGGAGCAGCGGAAGGACTCCTGTCTCTGAGCGGTGGCATAAACAACAACTGACCGCAACCCCCATTCCCGTCCCCCTGCACTGCTGGGGGGAGAAGGAGGGAGAACATGGAAGGAAGGAGGGGTGGGGGGAAGGTGTTTTTAAGACTGTTTTATTTCTCACTCTTTGGCTCTTATCCCGTTAGTAATAAATTTAAGTACTATCCCCACTTTGAGTCTGTTTTGCCCATGAAGGTAATCAGTAAGTGACTTCTCCCAGTTCCTATCTCTACTCATGAATCCTTAGCTGTTGTGTTTTTTTCTCTCTTCTCTCTCCTCTGTCCAGTTGCAGAGGCAGAGTGAGAGAGCAGCTTTAGTGGGTACCTGGTATCCATCCAGGGTCAAATATCCCAGGAAAAATTAATTAGGTGACAAGAATGGGGAAAGCTGCTTATAAACTTGGACTGACTATGAGTCCATTTTGCCTCAATTAGTAATCTCCCAAGTGACAAGTGATTAAAAAAAAAGCTTTCCTAAGTTTTTCATTGAACTAATCACCCTATATCCTTTTTCTTTGGAATAAAATGTTAAAACTGTTATGAAATATACAAGAATACAGGACCATATTACATAGACACCTCCTAAATACATGCATTTATTTCCTAGTAAGTTTGTGGGTCCTCAACATATGCAACTGTATTTTTTGAAGTTGAATCCATATTTCAATGTTGGCACAAGGGTTTTTAAAACCTGTACCGCACAGCACAGAGAAGGCGGCAGGGGTCTCGGTTTTCAGTCTTTCCCCTGCTGGAGGGGGAGAGGGAGGCCTCCCCGGGCCTCTTCCTCCCCCATCCTGCTTCACTGACCTTGGAGTTTACATTGCTATCTCATGTTCTCCTCTGCTCTCCTCTGAGTTGGAATTTCTTCTGTGCCACGTCTCAGCCGGTCAGTTTCTCTCTAGAGTTTTTTCTCCACTCTGTTACATGTCTTGACCAGGGAGAGCTTCAGTGTCACACCTGCCCCCAGCTCAGGGCCGGGGGGAGGAGGGGGGCCTGGCCCACACCTGGGGCCTGCCACCTCCCCCTACATGGCTCCTAATTTCTTCTGCGCAACACACCTTGTCTTCCTCTGTTCTTAAATATGTTATCACAGAAGCGAATATCATTGGCTAGTAGTAGGAAGTCCATCTTGGAGCTGGCTATCATTGGCTTTTTCATAGAATAGCAAAAGCTTCTAGTAGCTTCTAATTGAAATTATCTCTAGGGCCCCCTATTACCAAAAATTCAGCCACGTGAACCCATGACACCCCTGTAGCCCCACCTCTTAGTAAAACCTGGCCATACAAACCTTTTACAGCATCTTAAAGAGTAGCTATGACTAACAAAGGTCAACTCATATGCTAAGAAGGCAGCCTAGGCAGGTAGCAATATTTTTACACCTAGCTAGTTTGAAGAGACCAGTGAGTAATGGACCAACCTCACTATTAAGACACAAACCTACATGGATCCAATACTTAATTACTTCACACAGGAGGGTGAAAAAATACTAAATAGCAACTCTTACTATGTAAGCATACAAATAATCAGTTGGTATGCATCTTCAGAGTTCAAATATGCTTGAATAATCTTTGTAAGGACCACTTATAGCTCAACAGTAATTGAGCTATGAATTCAAAAATGTTTCTTCAAATCAAACAAATCAAACAATAAAATGCTCAAAAACCAAAATGCTCAAAACACAGCCTGCAACCTGCCACCTCCCCTAGCTGTCACCACCACCAAATCACCCTAAGAGAGAAATCCAAACAGCTGTTATATATTCGCCTGAGGGAATTGGTTGATGTAGTTGCCAAGCCGCTCTCCATGATATTTGAAAAGTCATGGCAGTCATGTGAAGTCCCAGATGACTGGAAAAGGGGAAACATTGTACTCATCTTTAAAAACGATAGAAAGGAAGACCCTGGAAAGTACTGACCTGTCAGCTTCACCTCTGTGCCTGGGGAGATCCTGGAACAGATCCTCCTAGAAACTATGCTAAGGCACGTGGAGGACAGGGAGGTGATTTAAGACAGCATGGTTTCACCAATTGCAAGTCCTCCCTGACCCACCTGCAGCCTTCTACAACAGACACTACATCAATGGACAAGGGAAGGGGTACGGACGTCATCCACCTGGACTTCTGTAAAGCCTTTGACATGGTCTCCCATAACATCCTTCTCTCTAAACTGAAGAGAGAGATGGATTTGATGGATGGACTGTTTGGTGGGTAAGGAATTGATTGGGCAGTCGCATCCAGAGGGTTGTGGTCAATGGCACAGAGTCCTGATGGACATCAGTGGCAAGTGGTGTCCCTCAGGGGTCTGCATTGAGACCAGTGCTATTCAATGTCTTCATCAATGACATAGACAGTGAGATCGAGTGCACCATCAGCAAGTTTGCAGATGACACCAAGCTGAGTGGTGCGGTTGACACACTTGAAGGAGGGGATGGCATCCAGAGGGACCGGGACAAGTACAAGAAGTGGGCCGATGGGAACTTCATGAGGTTCAACAAGGGCAAGTGCAAGGTGCTGCACCTGTGTCGGGGCAACCCCCAGCATCAATACAGCCTGGGGAATGACCAGATCAAGAGCAGCCCTGCCCAGAAGGACTTGGGAATGCTGGTGGATGAGAGGCTGGACTTGAGCTGGCAGTGTGTGCTTGCAACCCAGAAAGTCAGTTGTATCCTGGGCTGCATTAAAAGCAGAACGTCCAGTAGGTTGAGAGAAGTGATTCTGCCCCTCTACTCTGCTCTGGTGAGACTCCATCTGGACTACTGCATCCAGGCTCTGGGGGCCTCAGCAATGGAAGGACATCAGTCTGTTGGAGCGAGTCCAGAGGAGGCCACGAAGCTGATTAAAGGGCTGGAACACCTCTTCTATGTGGAAAGGTTGAGTGAATTGTTGTTCAGCTTGGAGAAGAGAAGGTTCTGGGGTGACCTTATAGCAGCCTTCCAGTACCTGAAGGGAGTCTACAAGAGAGATGGAGAGGGACTTTTTACAAGGCTCTGGAGTGACAGGACAAGG